TAATTTATCAGCAAATTCTTTGACTTGTGTTGCATCCTTTGCGATGAAGCAAAGATCATCCACAAACGATAACAGTAGACAATTCTCTCCTTGTAACTGTCCAATATATATACAATTATCAGCTTTGCAACTTTTAAATCCAAGATCCTTTAAAGCAGTATCTAAACAGATATTCCAGTTTCTGGCTGACTGCTTCAGCCCATAAATAGCCTTATTTAATTTATATACCATAGTTAGGTTTTGCAATTTCATATCCTGGTGCTTGGATCATATAAATTTCTTCCTCTAACTCAGCATTGAGGAATGCAGTTGTAATATCAAAGTGCCAGATTTTATGCTTATATGCCGCTGCCAACGCCAGTGCTAATCTTATACTCTCACTTTTCACAGTAGGCGCAAATACTTCATCATAGTGCACATTCTTTAATTGTGAAAAACCTTGTGCCACTAACCTGGCCTTATACTGTATATCATTATTTGACAATACCTTTTTCTTATATACCCACTTACAACCCACAGCTTTGGTTCCCTGTGGATTTCATCTCTTTATCCATGGCCTCCTTCCATCTTTCTTGTTCAGCTATTGGAAATGCCAACACTTCTTTATAACTTCTTGGCTCATACCACACATTGCAAACCTTTACCTTGCTGGCAGAATACCTGTCAGGCAGAATTCCTTTGTTACATCGCTCTGGCCTACGTGGTATTAACTGCTCCTGTGTCTCAATTCTTTCTGGTTTCATGTCTTGTTCAGCCTCTCCTCCCTGAACATTGACATCTTCAATAATCATTTTTTATCACTAGATGAGTTGTCATTAAGTAAATCACCGTCATTAAGTGAGACATGCCAAGAATTTGCATTAATTCTGTCCCAATTTTGTTCTGCAAAATTAGCAGACCTTGAAATTACAATTCTTTTACTTCCATCGCTAAAGTGATATCCTTTTGACCCAGGTTCATAGCCCCCAAACCTGAGCTTTCTTGCCTTTTGCTGTCCCTTTCTTCTGATTGCTTTTGGAATATATACCCATGCAGTACTTCCAAAAATTCTCAAATGTGCCACTGATGGCTTTCTCCCATATAGAATGGCATATGGAGTATTAATAATGGAGGAACTCCACAGCCTGTTAACTATATAATTGGCAGTCAATAATCTAAAACTAATCAAGGAGAGAAGCAACCTAGAACTAAGGAGAAACCTCCTGACAGTGAGAACAATTAATCAGTGGAACAGCCTGTCTCCAGAAGCAGTAAATGCTCCAACACTGGAAGTTTTTAAGAAGAGACTGGACAGCCATTTGTCCGAAATGGTGTAGAGTTTCCTGCCTGAGCAGGGGGTTGGACTAGATGACCTCCAAGGTCCCTTCCAACTTTACTACTATTACTAATATAGCTTCTCCCCAATATGACCTGCTCATACCAGAATCCTCCAATAATGAATCTTTCATTGTTTGCAAAACACCATTCCTTCTTTCAGCTACAGCGTTCTCTGCTGCTGTGTAAGGATTTGTACGTCTGTGTCTTATCCCCAACTGCCCCAACCATTGCTGGAATTTTGTTGACATAAATTCAGTACCTCTGTCAGTTTGCAACTGACACACTTGTTGTCTGTACCTTCTCTCTACAAAACTTACCCACTGTTTGAATTGTTGTAGCACCTCTGTCTTACCTCTAAGCAAGTAGCAAAATGAATACCTGCTATAATCATCAACAATTATCAGTGCATATTTTGCTCCTCCCAAACTGGCTTGCATAGGTCCCACCAGATCTGCATGGACCAGCTCTAGAGCTCTTTTTATTTGTCTTGTGCTACATTTACTAACTGGGAATGCCTTTGACTTTGATGTTTTGCATATTGCACAGTCCAAATATGTTTTGCATCCCTTCAAATTTAGCCCTTCTGCAAAATCTTGCATTTGCTGCAAAACTTTAAAGCTTGCATGTCCAAGTCTTCTCTGTAGAAGATGAACACATAAATCATGCTCTGCAACATTCTTAAATATATGGGAACATCGAACCTTTTGTCCCTGCAATACATATAGATTATCTTCCTTTATGCCTTCTGCACAAATATTCCCATTTCTTTTGATGAGATACTTCCCATTTACAAAAATGACCTTAAACCTTGTTTGTCTAAATTAGACACACTTAACAAATTATGTTCCATTTCAGGTACACAAAGCACATTGGTAAACTTTGATTCCAAATATGGAATTTTTACATCACCTCTTCTGATGACTTTTGCTTTCTGGCCATTTGCCAAAGCCACAGTTTCTTGTGCTACTGGAACAAACCTGCAAAATAATTCAGAGTCATTAACAATTGTTTGACTTGCCCCACTATCTATTAACCACTTGTCTCTGTATTTTGCTAAGCAAACTTTTGCAACAACAAAATGTTCCATTTGCAAATCAGTCCTTTTTGGTTGCACAGTTGTCCTTTGCTGCAAATTGTTCCTTTGCAAACAGTTCCTTTTCAGATGGTTGTTTGTTCCACAAATGTAGCAATTCTTTTCTTGCTTAGCTCTCCTCCTGCAAAATGTTTCTTCTTCGGAGACTTGCAGTCTGGACCCCCTCCTCAGGAATTTCACCTCCTCCTGGCTGCTTCTAAAATGGCGCTTTTTTCTTCATTAAGCAAACATGTCTTTAAAGCCTCAAAATTTAGTTCTTGCTCTTCTTTACATTCAAATATGGCAGAAACTGTGTCCAAGATTTTATCTAAACTGTTCAACACCAATAAAACCTTCTGGGATTCAGGGAATTTAATCCCACGTTGTTCTAAGTCCAAAAATAAACTTTGCATTTTATTTAAATGCTGTTCCACAGATTCACCTGATTGCAAACAGGCCCTGTGAAGTTTTCTTGACAATTGCACTATATTGCATGCAGAAACATTCACGTGCACAGCTCTCAACTTCAACCAAATCTTCTTTGCAGTCTTTAAATTTGCAACATTTAGAAATTGTTCATCATCTAAATTCAAGATGAGATAAGCCATTGCTTGATCATGACTGTTCTGATCAGCACCTGCAAACACTTGTGGTGGATTTTCTACAATATACCACAGCTCTTTTGCTTTGAGCAAACATTCCATTTTAGCAGCCCACACAATGTAATTCTTCCAGCCCAAATGAGGCACACAGTTTTCCTTAAATTCCATTGCAGCCATTCTGCTAATTCTGCCTTGTTCTTATACTTTCTAAACACATGCAATTTCTTCCAGCTTTAAATTACAATGCAGTCCTTAGTAATCTCTGGGCCCATAACCTGTTAGAGAATTTTAATTTCTCTATTGGTGAAAAAGAAATCAGAAGCTCTCACAGTTGACTGCATTTAGCTGATTCAAAATAACTTATTTATATTTATATTAAAATATTTACAATACCATATATTCTTCTTTACAGCAACATAGCTCAAATGAAGACTTCTTACAGAGAGATACAGAGACAAACCTGAGACTGGAAATCCAGCTCCTAACTCAATACCCTTTTGCACAGACTCAGTAGTACTTTCTTCACATTGGCTGACTGAGTTACCACATGACTCTTCCTGCTCATGAATATTCCAACAAAATCTCTGTTGTGGAATGTTGAAAATTGTAGTAATGTAGACAAATCTGATCTCATGCAACTTCAGATGCAAAATTGGTTATGTGATTTATCTCTTCATAGAACAACTTTTAAAATGCTAATACTCTCTTACATGTACTGTTATACTATAGCAGTGGTGGTGAACCTATGGCATGGGTGCTAGAGGCGACACTCAGAGCCCTCTCTGTGGGCACTCGTGCCGTCTCCCCAGTCCTAAGCCTTCAGCTGGGTTTTATAAAACCTTTTCGCTTTAGGCCTCCATCATCATGTGCAAAAAAAAAAGTTCAATCAGTCAATTTCAACTTCTCGCAGAAAAAAAAAAAGATCTTGCAAAGTTGGAATTGATTGATTGAACTTTTTAGTCCCACCCAGTCTGCCGTTACCACTGCAGCCACGCCCATCCAATGGGCTACAACCACCCAATGGGCCACACTCACCCGGCACCCGACGATGCATAAGTGGGTTTTGGGTTGCAGTTTGGGCACTCGGTCTCTAAAAGGTTCACCATTACTGTACTATAGTTACTATTTTGTAAATGTTTCCTTGTGACAGGGCTTTTTTTCTCATAGAACGCCCAGAACGGAGTTCCAGCACCTTTTTTGGATGGAACCTTGTAGGGTAGGCAAGGCGGGTTGTAAGATGTGTGTGAGTTCCGGCATCTTTTTTTTTTTTTTTAGAAAAAAGCACTGCCTTGTGACAATGTGTTTAGGCATAAATCCACACTCAAAGGATTAAAAAGGAAGCATATTATTTTTATGTTCTTGTTCTGATTATTATGATTTAAGATTCATATCATTCTATCAATGTGAATCTCCAAAGTGCCTATATTCATCTGAGCTCTGATTTGCACAGATAGGCAGGTTTAATGAAGAATATGGAATGGAAAACTTATTGCAAAATCTTCCATTATTATATTGTCTGTATTTCAATGCCTCAAAAATGAGACCATCTTTCCTCTCACTAACTACTCAGCCTATTTCATGATAAGGATGTCATTGAGTTTCTTTCCCTTCCCTCTATGAGTTCTAGTTGATTCCTATGCAATGGGTGACATTTCATTTTGAAATAAATTGAACCTTTTTTCCAAAGGCTGAATAATATTTGTCCCCCCTGCTTTCCTATATTATTCAAAGGCAAAGGAGCCTCAGGCTACATTTCTGACTGTTAGCCATACAGGAATGTCATATTATCCCCAACAATTAGTGAAACAGTGACATCCCTGAAATACATTTATAAATGGATTTGGCCTGCTCATTTTTTCTTTGGGATTTTCTCTGAGAGAACCAATACAGAATGCTATGTGGAGGGCTTTTATTCCGGCTAGTCTTATGCAAATATTGAAAATACATTAACATAATTACCTGTTTTTTGTCATATACAATAATTTGTTTTTCATCTTTTTTCTCCCTAGGAAATATGTCCTTAAGAAAATTTCAGCAAATGGCTCTCTTTATGGGTGTTCAGTGTATTGCAGCAGGTGCTTTTACATATTACTACATACAAAGTAAGTTCCATCATAATTAACAATTTGAAATTGATTTATAAAAGGAGTGTCTGTGCATTAACTTGATAAATTGAACTGTACCCTTTTAAACTATAAGTATAGGATCCTTGCTCATTTCTCCATGCTCAAAATTTTTTACAAACAGAAAGCCAGCATAGTGGACAAAGAATTGAACTATCATTTATCCTTGGAAATATGATTTTCTATTTGTAGTAAGATTTTAAATGGGGAGATTTTAAAAATAATATCCCTACCTATTCTTATGAGGATCAATCAAATATTGTGTGTTTCTCTACTTAGAATCCTCTTTTATACTATCCAGCCAAAACCATTTCTGATTTTACTAATAGTTAGAGGATTTTGACCTTCAAATATTTTATTTATTTATTAAATTTATATGTCATCCATCTTGCCATCAGGCAACTCTTAGTGGCGTGCAATAAAATAAAAACAATATAAAATATTAAAATGATAAGTATGAGCATTAAAGTTAGCAAAGATGCAAACAGATTGGAGGCAAAACTTCCTCAGTCCACTAACCAGCTCCAATATGTAATGTCCCCCATCAGGACCCTAAGCTAATTGGCAGAGCCAGGTTTTATGACTCTCCTGGAAGGCCAAAGGGGGGGGGGAACTGAGCTCACCTTGGGGGCACAACGTTCCAGAGGGCAGAAGACATGGCAGAAAAGGTTCTCCTGGACCTGCCAGTTGGAATTCCTTGACCGATGGGGTCCAGAATACCCTCCTTTTGCTGGCGCAGGTAAGGCAGGCCAATCCCATTGGGGTGAAACAATTCCTAATTTTAAAAGCACTTCATTGATGAGGTTGTATTGATATTAAATTTGATTACAGCCGCCAGGCTGTTAGTAGGACAATACTGGAAGAAGGAATCTTTGCCTACATTGCAGGAATGGTTTCTTAAAGTAGCTTATTTGGCGGAAATGGCAAAGATTTCGGTTTTCTTAAAGCAACAAACGCAAGAGAAGTTTCTTGCCGTTTGGGACAAATGGATAAAATTTATACAATTTAGATTGGGTATAAGAAAATATCACATAGCTTTTTCATAAGTTTTATTTTTATATATAGAGAATGTTATATATAGATATTTTTTTATATATATATAAATATAAATTTTTTAATTTAATTTCTTATCTTTATTTGTTAATTTTTAACTAAGCCTATATTCTGCTCTGGGAAGCTCAGGGGGGGGGAAGGGAGGGTGTTTGTGAGGGGTGGGGGATGGGGTTTTTTTTTTATATGTGATGTTTAGTTTTTTTCTGTATATGTTGTTTTTTGTTTTGTATTGTTTTTGTCTTTTTGTAAAATTTATAAAACTTTCAATAAAAAAAAAAGCATTTCATTTGTAAATGGTGCTTCTAAGGAAGAAACACTGATATTTACAAATCCAATTTGTATGAATATGTGTCTGATTGACAGTGCTTGTGTCTTAAATTAAAAAAAAATAAGGCATGCTGTATAAATACTAGTTTCAGGGGTTAAAGTTGCTTACAAATAGATTTTTTTTTTTTTTATTAAAAGTTTTATAAATTTTACAAAAAAGGAAAAATAATACAAAACAAGAGACAACATATACAGAAAAATGAAACTAAACAATACATATATTAAAAAAAAAAAAACCCCATCCCCCAACCCTCCCCCCCCAAAAAAAAACCCTCCCTTCCCCCCCCCCTGAGCTTCCCAGAGCAGAATATAGGCTTAAAAAAATAAAAATAAAAATTAAATTAAAAACTTTATATTTATATATATAAAAAAATTATCTATAATATATATGAAAATAAAACTTATGAAAAAACTATATAATATTTTTGTATACCCAATCTAAATTGTATAAATTTTATCCATTTATCCCAAACAGCAAAAAACTTCTCTTGCGTTTGTTGCTTTAAGAAAGCCGAAATCTTTGCCATTTCTGCCAGATAAGCTACTTTAAGAAACCATTCCTGCAATGTAGGCAAAGATTCCTTCTTCCAGTATTGTCCTACTAACAGCCTAGCGGCTGTGATCAAGTTTAACATCAATACAACCTCCTTTGTATCACAATCTGTAACAATACCTAACAAAAATAATTGCGGAGTAAATTTTACCCTCCTTCTAAAAATTCTCTGGATATTCCACCATATTTTAATCCAAAATGCTTTTATCTCTCTGCATGACCACCAAATATGATAATAGGAAGCCTCCTTATAACCACATCTCCAACATTTGGGTTGCACGTCAGGATACATATAAGACATTTTTTGTGGATCAAGGTGCCATCTATAAAACATTTTATAAAAATTCTCCCTTAAGTTCTGTGCTTGAGTAAATTTGACATTTCTGACCCAAATAGTTTCCCAGGTGTCCAATGAAACTGGCTCACCAAAATTCTGCGCCCATCTAATCATACAATCTTTAATTAGTTCCGTTTCTGAGTCCAATTCAACTAAAACCCCATAAATTCTCTTAATGTGGGTTTGTCTTTGATCCTTCAGTTGCTTAATAAGATTTTCATCTTCTCTAAGAAAACCCACCTTACAATCCATCTTCCCTCTATCTAATAGTTGCCTATATTGGAACCAAGAATAAATAAAATTTTCTTGTGCTAACTCTTCCCGTGATTTTAATTGCCAGTTTTGTCCATCCCATTTAAGTAATTGTCTATAAGACACCATATCCATTTTAACCCCTCTTTTTATTCCTTCTATCGCGTGCCAGGGTATAGCCCATAATGGTACTTTAAAATCACTTTTATAATATTTTCTCCAAATCCTAAGTAAAAAAATTCTTAAAATATGAGATTTAAAAGCCCAATCTATTTTTTTATTAAATATTAAATAGGCATGCCACCCATAAAGTAAGTCCCATCCCTCTAAGTAAAGTATCTCAGAATTTGTCAAATTTACCCAATCACTAATTAATGTTAAAACCACCGCATCATAATATAATTTCAAATTTGGTACCTTAAGTCCACCCCTCTCACGGAAGTCTTGCATAATTTTAAACTTAACCCTTGGTTTTTTCCCTGCCCAAATAAATTTGTTGAGACCCTTCTGCCACTCATTTAAATTAATCTCATTTTTCAAAATTGGTAACATTTGAAACAAAAAAAGAAACTTGGGTAGAATATTCATTTTTATCACTGCAATTCTTCCCATGAGGGATAATTGCAACTTTTCCCAATTCTTCAAGTCCTTCTGTACCCTGACCCACAACCTTTCATAATTATTTTTAAATAATTTTGCATTAGAAACAGACAGCATCACCCCCAAATATTTTACCTTATTAACAATCTCAAAACCCGTCAAGTTGACCAAAATCTGCTTCTCCTGACTCGACATATTTTTAGGTAAAATTTTAGTCTTATTTACATTAATCTTAAAACCCGAGACCAAACCATAATGATGAATCAACTGTAATAAGTTTACTACAGAATAATCAGGTTGCGACAAAGTAACAACCAAGTCATCCGCAAAAGCTCTCAACTTATATTCTTTTTTATTAACATATATTCCTTTAATTTCCTGAGACTCTCGAATTTTGATCAATAATATTTCCAATGTTAAAACAAACAACAATGGCGATAAAGGACACCCCTGTCTAGTACCTTTCTCTATTGTAAAAACCTCCGACAAACCTCCATTAACAATAAGTTGTGCCGTTTGTTTTTGATATATTACCGTAAGGGCTTGTAATATCTTTTCACCAAAATTCATTTCTTCCATTACTCTTAACATAAAATGCCAATTCAATTGATCAAATGCTTTTTCAGCATCTAAAAATATGAGCCCTGCAGGAACTTGGTTGTTCTTGTCTAAATATTCTAGTAAATTAATAATTTGTCTGACATTATTTTTCATATACCTTCCTGTTATAAATCCTGATTGATCTTTATGCACAAGATGATGCACCACCCTCATAAGCCTATTTACCAAAATTTTTACAAATATCTTATAATCCACATTTAAAAGAGATATAGGCCTGTAATTTTTTGGTAGGGTAAGATCTTGATCCTCCTTTGGAATCAATGATATAAAAGCACTACGCCATGAAGGAGGAATCTCTAAACCCTGTAAAATACCATTAAAAAGAACATGTAATGGTTGGATCATCTCCTCTATTAGAACTTTGTAATAAACAGCTGTTAACCCATCCGTGCCCGGTGCTTTCCCTAATTTCAATTGTTGAATTGCTGAGGTAATTTCCTCCTTAGTAATTAAACCATTAATTTCATATTTCTGATCCTCAGTCAGTTTAGGAAAACTTGCCTCAGCTAAATATTTATTTATATCTAGCATTTGTACATTAGTAAATTTATATAGGTTTTGATAATAATCCAAAAAAGATTTTTTAATCAATTCCTTCTGAGAAACTAATTTACCCTTATAGTTTATTTTCTCTATTATTCTTTGTCTCTGTTTCTTTCTTAATTGATAAGCCAACCATCTCCCAGGCTTATTGGCATTACAAAATGTATTTTGTTTCATAAATAATAAGTTGGTTGCAGCTTGATCTGCTATCAACATATTAAATTGTGACCTTAATAACTTTACAGATTCTTTAATACTCTCATCAGAAGGATTTAAAATCAAAGCCCTTTCTTTTAATTTAATTTCATCTTCAAGTTCTCTACGTTTCTGAATCTGATTTCGCTTATAAAAATTATTCATTTTTATCAAAACACCGCGCATAAATGCTTTACCTGCGTCCCATACCATTGACATTGAAGTCTCCTTATACATATTCAAAGCAAAATAGTCCTTTAAACACTCCTTTAGTTTTTGAACATTCTTTTCTTGTCTAAACAAATTTTCATTAACTCTCCAGGATCTTCTTTCCTCTTTCTCTTGAATCAGCTCCATCCAAACTGGACTATGATCCGTCAGTGATCTAGAAAAAATCTTTACATTCTTTACTTTATTATACAAGTCCGTGGTAATCAAGAAAAAGTCAATTCTTGAAAAAGATTGGTGTCTATCAGAAAAAAAGGTAAAGTCTCTCTCCTCTTGATTACATTCCCGCCAATAATCCCTTAATTCCCAGTCTTCTTTCATATCAAAAAAGGCTTTAGGTAGCCTTGCTTGTTTAAGAAAAGGAGAGGAACCTTTCTTATCCCTTAGTGTATCTAAGACACCATTCCAATCACCCATTAATACCACTGATCTATAATCAAGCAAAGTTATTTTTTGATGTAACTGTTTATAAAATTGTTCCTGTTGTTGATTTGGAGCGTAAAGTCCAACTATAAGTACTTTCTTACCATATATACCAAGTTCAATCATCACATATCTCCCCTGGGGATCTGATTCTACCAGACAAGCTGGTAGGTTTTGTTTAACATATATAACAACTCCCCCTTTCTTCCCAGGAGCAGGAGATATAAAATGAGATCCCAAACGAGCATTAACTAAATATTTCTGGTCTTTAAGTAAAATATGAGTTTCCTGTAGACAAATAACATCATTGGTATGTTGCTTCAAATAATAAAAGATTTTTTTCCGTTTCTGAGGAGAATTCAATCCATTAACATTCCAGGTCAAAAACTTTGCCATCTCCCTTGGCACGCAGCCTGGAGAAGACACCATCAAAATCTGACAGAGCTGCATGTGTTGCATAACTCTTGGGTCTTGCTCCTCCCACCGGCGGTGAAGCACTTCCAGGAGAACTCTCTTTGGGCTCTTTTTTACGTTGCTCCTTCTCTTTACGCTTATAGGCTGCACGAGTCATCCTCTGCTCTTTAGCCTCCGTCTGGCGTTGCTTTGCCGCTTCTATCATCCCTGCGGAAACCAAATCTAATGCCTCAGATTGCTGCTCAGCTTCCTTACCACTCAAAGATTTCCGACCAGATGAAGTTGAGCCTGCACCCAGGACCGAAGTATAAAAATCTCTAGCTTTATCAACTGTGTTCAATCTGTAGCGTGTCCCAGCATGGCTCAAAACAATACCCATCGGAATTTCCCATCTAAATGGCATCGATCTAGCTTTAAGCTCATTGGTTAAAAAAGCAAAGTCTTTTCTACTTCTTAAAATTTTGGATGGGATTTCCTTTAGAATGATGACATCTTGGGCGGCAATCTGAAATCTTTTGTTGTAAAAAGCTTGTATAATCTCATTCCGCAGGGACTTCTTTGTAAAGTAAATCACCACATCTCTAGGCAAATTCTTCTGCTTAGCAATCCAGGAGTTGAGTCTATAAATTTTTTCCACTTCTCTCTGTAATTCTCCTTTATCCATATCCAAGGCCAGCGCCAGATCAGTAAGGACCACCTCCACCAAATCTTGATTGATATCTTCCTTGAGGCCTCTAATCCTCAGGGCATACTCCATCTGTCTGTACTGAAACATCAAAATATCTTCTTGTGAGGAGTCCACCTTCCTTTCCACGTCTTGAATTTTGTCATCCAAAGAGTCAACTTTGTCTTCCACTTCCTCAAGCCTTGCATCGAGCTTAACCACCACAGTAGCCAAACCTGAAACAGCTGCCAATATATCTTGTCGTAGTTCATTATTATTTTCTTGCAATTTAGACTTTATCCCCGTTATCTCTTCTTTGAGATCAGATTTAATTTCTGATTTAATCTGTGAAACAAATTGATTCATTTCCTCTCTCATTTGAACTACAATCTCTCCCATTATGCCTCTAACCTCTTGTACTGAAAGTCCAGGTAGAGGAGGGGAGGGTGGTGGCTGAGCCGGTGGTACATGTTTAGATTGTTGTTGTAGCTGTGCAGTGGAAGTTATAGGAGAAGAAATAACCTTGGGTATTGAGGAAGGCTGCTGCCTCTTTGAAGCCATTTTAAAAAGCACAATTGTCACTTCCCTTTTCCCTCCAGCCAAAAAGGGAGGAGGAAAAAAAAAGAAAAAAAATAAAAAATTTTTAAAAAAAGACAAACTATAGTCATTAAAAGTCCAGAGTAAATCCAAAGAATAAGTAGTAAAAGAGCAAACAGTTCAAAAGAAAAAATTCTAAACCAAAAGCAAAAGCAAAAGCAAAAAACAGTCCTTAGAAAGGGAAAGTAAAACAAAAGAGAAAGGAAAAAAAACTCCGACACTTTCAAAACGCCATCTTAAATCCTTTCACTAGTATAACAAAGAAAAGGAGGAAAAATAGTAAAAATCAAAAGATAAAAAAATAAACACCTAAAATATAACAAAAAATCCTTTAAACTGCTCCGTCCGTTTAAAAATTACTCACCAAAATGCTGTAAACACGGAGATAGAAGCGGCGGTTTCTTTTGCTTCCTAGGAAGCAAAAACAGCTGGGAGGCGGAGATCAGCAAGAGCTCCGAGGGAACACTCCTTCCACCCCCTCTAGAAATAAATCCAGAGGGGGTTCAGGGGTTCTACCTCTACTCTTGCGTTCTCTGTCCCTTCCCTTTGCCCGGGAAGGGATTTCTGAGCCGCGGGCCAGCTGATGCGCGCTGCGCTCCGCGGCTCTAACACTTCCCCAGCTGGACGGCTAAAAGCTAGCCGCCATCGCCGTCGCCTCCCACCGGAAGCTCCTCTCAAATAGATTTTTAAAACTTCAGTACAGGTTAGAATTTTTGCTCAACCAATCAGTCAGGCTAACTGAACCTCATGGGTCTACATTTGTGCTAAATGTTGTTTTTCAAGGCTATATTCATTACTTTTTCATTAGTTATAGTGGAAGAAATTAATAAAAATCCAATTCTGATGTTGGTGTACTATGTCCCTGCCTCATTTCTTAAGAGATATTTCATGAATGAGGAGATTTTCCATATGATACATCTAAAATATTTCTGCCTGACTTCTGAGAGGCCTTTGAGTCTTAGCCTTGGGGAATTATCTCCCGGCCTATAGATATGAATAGAGAACTTTAAAGCAGAGAGCAGCACAGGGTACTCTTGATAGAAAGGGCAATGAAATAATGAACTGAAATGAAAAGAATGTGATTAGCAACAGTGACTTTAGCTACCCAGAGATTTTTGAATTCTCTATTCCAAGCTGGAAGTAAGCAATTTAATCCTTATTTTACTTAGGCCCTGTATATTTGGGATGGATGAGTAATAAACAACACCTCATTTAGTCAATGTATAATGATTTTCTAATATTTGAAGGACACCTTTTTAGCATCTGTAAATGGAAATGTCTATGGAGATTCTCAATTATCCAGGTCATGGTTGTTCCAAAGGTGCTTTTTTCAAGAGGCAACTGGACTTTGTTTTTCCTTGAAAAAGTTTCACTTCTCATTTAAGAAGCTTCTTCAGCTCCAGAACTGTTTTTTTTTTTTTTACTGTTTTTCTTTTTTGCTTTTTTATTCAGGGGTTTTCTCTAGAACAAAATACTATCAGGATGCTCTTAAGCAGCTTCAAGCAGATCCCTTAGCCCTAGAAGCACTTGGTGCTCCCCCTCTGAAAGTTCACTACATCAGCTTGAGAGACAAGAGCAACTACGTTGATAAGTCAACAGCTCAGGTAACCAGCAGATGCATTAAGAGCTGATGGGGAAGTAAGGAAACAGGAGTCATGACAACAAAAGTTTCAGTTTGACTAGGTTTATATGATGTTTTTAAAGTCAATGCAGAAAATGATACTATGCTGAGTAGCCAGATTTCCAGGATTTTTGAAAATTTGAAATTATTATTGAGCTATTATTTAGTAATTGAAAACAGTAGTACTTGTAGTAGTAATAAAAAATTACCTGTCATATTGATTTTAATGTCCCTAAATTTGCAAAAGATTACCTTTGCGCAGTATACATTTTATGGCAGTACTTCCATGACTTTTAATTCTTTGGCTAGGACCCAAATCATTGGATTCAACACTCAGTTGATATTAATTTGATTAGAAAATTAACAATAACAATAATAGCCAAAGTATATGAAAATCATTTGCAGTTGTAGGAAAATGAAATTGGTTCTTTAAACATAACTTGTCCATCCCAAAAGGAAGATTTTAGGTACAACTGAATTGGAAGTGCACCAGTGCTGAGATTCACCACTCAGTGGTAGAATATATGTTTGCATTTAAAAAATCCTGGCCTATGTCCCCTAGTAATTTCTTTTTTAAAAAAAAAAATTCAAAGCAAGCTATTTTTCTTAGGTCTCAGGAATTTTGTGAGTAGACTTTAGTCAATAAATTCATTCTATATAAGACTAATTTGGCTTTAACTGATATGGATGGATAATTTGCAAATGGGAAGAACCTCTCTGTCTATATCTCTAGATATCCATGTGATGAAGTAGGTGCTGATTTGACTAGATCAGAATTCAAGAATGAGGATTTTTATTCCTCCAAATGTTTCTGAACTCCCTATCAGCTGTGTTAATTATGGCTGTTAAACATTTGGAAACAACTCGATGAAGACACGATTCCCACCATTAATCTGAAAGATTTAAAAATCTTCATATAGTCTTCCATTTATGACTGCAGTTGGAATCAGAATTTCTATTACTAAGCAAGGTGGTTGTTAAGTGAATTGCGCCTGAGTTTATGACCTTTTTTGTCTTGGCTGTTAAGCAAATCACTGAAGTTGTTACATGAATTTGGCTTCCTCCATTGACTTTGCTTGTCAGAAGCCAGCTAGGAAGGTCGTAAAGGCAATCAGATGACCCTGGAATGCTGCAATATCTTAAATACACATTGGTTGCCAAGCACTCAAATTTTGATCATGTGACCATAAGGATGCTGCAAAAGTTGTACGTGTGAAAACCTTTTTTCAGTGCCATTGTAACTTTGAACAATTGCTAAATGAATAAGTCAAGGATTATCTATACAGTTTTTGTAGCATTGGAAGTCCTCACTGCAGTCATGAAAAGTGCTCCATTTTGGGGTTATGTATTATAGTGAAAAAAGTGGGAAAGGATAGATAGATAGATAGATAGATAGATAGATAGATAGATAGATAGATAGATAGATAGATAGATAGATAGATAGATAGATAAAAAGAAAAAGAAGAAAGGAAGTCTGTAGTTCAGCCAGCTAAAGAATTAGTGTGCATATAAACTTGGTGTGTACATGTATAAAGAAGTGCCAAATTGAATGAAGATAACTTTTGCTTAAGACTTTTCAGACACTAGATTTTAAATCTGCATTAAGAGTGTTACCTTCAAAAAGATTCACATTTGTGAAAGTTCACCAAAAGGATTTATTTTATAGGTAAAAATACCACTATCTGGAAAAAAGTCAGGTGGTTATCTTCATGTTATTTCAGAAATGGATTTTTCTCTCAACAGGTAAGTTTTAAAAGATAGTGTTTTAAAAAATATTGGATATTTGAACAATCATACTGTGTATGATAGTTATTCTACATTAAATAATGTACTATATTTAATAGCTTTAGAACAGATATTGCAGTTTGATTAAAAAATGGGTAATGAAACTGATAAAATTCAGAACTGTGTATATCTTGCAATCTATTTCTATATCAACCAGTACAAAATGCTGATGTAAATAAAGACATGTTGTTAATTGGATTGCTAATATAGACTTCCAAAAGTGTTTCATGTAGTAGTCTACTACATCCATCTACTAGCATAGGTTCTCACTGGTTTGCATCTAGACTGTATAGTTTCCCCAGATAGTAGGTATTTATCCATTGGGAACCAGATTGGGCAATACAAAAATAAGTATTTTTTAAAAAAATATTAATTCATTAGGAGTATCAACAATTTAAAGCTTTTCTGTAAAATTAATGCCTTATCCTTAATAGTATTTACCTAAATAACCTAAAACAAATGATGTATTGGGAGGATTGCAGCAATGAATTATTCTAGATTAAAATCTTAACTATTATATTTCTACCATGTTCAATTATATCATTTCTAACAAATTTTTCTGTTAGCTGGAATCTACAGGAGGTCACGCTACAGCTCTGCAATGGCCACAGAATTCCGGTGTATGTTTCTTCTATGAAGACTGTTTCTAGATAAAAAGATGTAATATATAGAACTGAGTTGTTGTCGTCATCCATCATCATCATCATCATTTTATTATTATATTTGTATTAGAATATTCAAATTCCATAAACAATCTAACCAACATCCAAAACATATGAATCATTTATTATTTAAAGTTTAAGGCTGCTTGCCTTCAGAACTACTCTGAATGGCTTACAATTACAAATGTAAAAGAAATGTAAAATAAAATTACATATGTTAGAGATAAGAATGTAGTTGTACAGAAGACACAGTAAAAAAAAGCACATGGGGATGAAGTTGACCATCATCCTTGCAGAAAGTCAAAAGGATAGAAGCTATGTAGTGGAAATATAATTCCAATGGGCAGGAGCCATCACTGAGGAGGTACACTTCCTGAATGCCACAAAGTGACACTGCTTAACTGACTCTTTGGGGTTTAGACTAAAACAACTGAAGGCATATAAAGGCATATTTAGATTTTAATTGGCTTGTATTTTTATATACTGAATGGTTTTAAAATAATTTACATGTATTCCCCAGGTATTAGGGCTGTGAATGCTTAAAAATAATTTGAGATTAATGTTTCATACTTGTCTAAGCACAGCACCTGTCTACTATTCATTGAAGCAACTATGATTTTCTGCAGTGTTCTCTGGGAGCCTGAAAAAAGATACTAAATCATATTAATGAGATAGGATATTAAAATTGTTAACTATTTTTCTCAGCTGATGTGGGAACTTGAAAGAGGAATGACTGCTTTAATTAGTAGCCAAAAAGTGCTGTACTCCTATATTTTTGTAAGATCCAAAATGTTTTCTCTAATAATTTTTGATTTCAGGTGTCTTATAAATGAGCCAGTGTGGTTTAGCAGGCAATGTGTTAGAGCAGGAGATTCTCCAGTATGACGAGTGCAGAATCCACCAATGGGTTCTGCTTGTCTTCTGCCTGTAGACTAAGTCAGCCAAATTTTTGCTCTGCCTCTCCTCCTGAGATGCCCCTTTCCCAGTCTTGACTTAGTCTCAAGCCCGGACAAACAGGTTTTTCTTGGCTCCAGACTTAAAGGACTTTAAATCAGGTTGTATGCTTCTATTAATTTCACCCAAAGGGGGGGGAGCGAAGGACAATTGGAGATACACCCCTCCCTGCCTTTTTCATTGTAGCAAATTCATTGTGGCAAATTACAGCGCAGCCACGAGGCTTGCCTTTAGGACAGCCGATCCCAGAGGGTGAACAAAGAGCCGGACGCCATTTTGGCTCTGCATGGGCTCCAGGATCAAGGAAGGATTCACCATCACCATCCCCCTCCACACCTCCAACTACAGGGATCACCTTAGTTCCCCTCCTTCTGGAACAGCAAGGATTTTAAAATCTAAGCAGTCACAGGGACCGGGATTCCGCGGGATTCCCCGAAGTCTACCGAAGCTCAGATCTCCCGTGGCTCTACCTTTTAGTCCAGCTGAATAGCTCTCTCTCTCTCTCTCTCTCTCTCTCTCTCTCTCTCTCTCTCTCTCTCTCTCTCTCTCAAGCTCAAGCTCAGCCGGTCAGCAGGGAGCTTTAAATTGCCACACGCCTTTCTTTTGTTTTCCTGGAGCTCAGCCAGCAGGCAGAGAGCAAGGAGGCTTCTAATGAGCTCGGGGGACTCAGCCGAGCTGAGGAAATCTATTCAAGGTCAGAATCTTCCTCCACTATCCCTAGCCTCCATCCAAAAATATTAAACATTAAATATTGAAAAAATAAATAAAATAAAAAATAAAATAAAATAACTGCAAGGCTCAGTCCAGATCGGCCCAGGACTACAATTCACAAGGCCTCCTCTCTCAGACTTGCATCGGGATATATCCCATTGACAAATGGCAGACACAAACACTATCCAGTCAGAGCAGGAAGCCTCCATTAGCCCCCCTGATCATAAGAGGCAAAAATCTTCCAAGCAGGAGGCGGCTGGCAGGATCAAAGCCAGGGCAATATCTGGTAAAAGACCTTCTAAGACAGTGGATAGGGAGGCCAAACGTTGTCACCAGGCTCTGGAAAAACAGTTTTCTAGAGCTGAGAAGAGGCAAAGCTCAGTGGAGGAAGGACTAGAACCATCTAGTTACAAGGAGGAGGAAATATTCGATCCGAGAAGGCCTAGTCAGGAACCTCTGGAAGCAGAGGCTGACACAGAGCAGGGGAGCGGATCTCCCCTATGTGAGGAGCCTGGAGGTTCGGGGACGGAAACAGGCACCTGTATTTCAGACAATCATGGAGCAGTCTCAGGCTGTCGCTCAGACCATGGCCTCTTCAAGATACCATCGCTCCAGAACAGGGTCTGTGGCTTCAAAGGGTGGCTCCCATCTTTCCCAAGAGGAAGCCTCTGTGTATCAGGACTCAATTTCCCCCTCCCGGTCCTCCAGAAGCAGGAGGTCTCCTGCGGAGGACCATGAGCTGATGGATCAGGGGCTGTCAGAGGAAGGGGATGTATCCCAAGTTCCTCCACCTTCATGGGCCTCTTTAACCCGTCTCTTTTCAAACCCCTGCTTCACAAGGCCAGCAGCACTGCGAAGATCTAGAGAGCTTTGCTTCCTCAGAAGGGATCTTCAACTAGTCAGGTAACGAACAACGAGGTGTTTTCACAGCCCATTTACACACAATTTATCCCCTGCCCCCCTCTCTTCTTTGATTCAGTTCAGAATAACATAGGGGCACCGGAGTCTTTCCTCCCAATGGGGGGGACAGACAGGAAAATGTTCAACATAGATCCGGCACTGTCGGAGATAATAGAGGTTCTGACAATAGATGAACCCATAGCTGCTCTTTTTTCTCCATCCACGATACCTGGGGATGCGGTGGAGGCCCTGAAATCAGAAAATAAGAAGATGGACCTCACCTTCCGCAGGGCACACCAGGCCTCAGCGTGGGCAATCAAGGCAGCCATATCTACATCCTTTTTCGCTAGGACTTCACTACTCTGGCTGCGCCAACTCCAGGCGAGTATCTCACCGGAGGAGAGAACCCACAAGAACTTAAGAAGGTTAGTGGCGGCAGCGGAGTTCATGTCAGATTCATCCTTGCACACATCAAACTATTCTGCTAGAGCAATAGCGTACAACATCGGAGCACGCAGATTGCTGTGGCTCAAACAGTGGAGAGCCAACATGAAGGCAAAGTGGTGACTGGCGGCAGCCCCCTTCAAGGGCGGCCGTCTTTTTGGTGAGGCCCTTGATCCTTATCTGATAGAGAACAAGGATAAACGCAAGATTCTGGCACACCTGACAAGGAGAATGGAGAGGAGAGTCTCCTCCTACCCCTGCAGACTGTCCTTTCGATCTGACACAGGCACAGAACAAGGTTCCTTTTTTGCCCCTATCAGCCTAGGTCAGACCAACAGGGTGAGAGAACCGGTTCAGAGAACAGTTCCAATCAAAGCGGCCCTTTCAGGGAGCGGGAGGTCGCCCCTACTGAATATTCAAGTGACGGTGGGGAGGACTTCCCCATTGGTGGCAGGTTAGCTCTCTTCGCTCACAAATGGCAAGCCACCACCATGGACCTCTGGGTACTAAATACCGTCAGATTCGATCTCTCACTAGAATTCATTTCATCCCCCTGAACCACTTCATTCCTTGTCCATCTCCAAATGATCCAACCAAAAGGAACCTTATAAAGGAGGCCATCCAGCATCTACTGGACATCCAGGCCATAGAACTGGTAGAGAAAGACCAGTGGGGACAGGGATTCTATTCCATCTTGTTCATAGTCCCAAAGAGTTTGGGGGGGGGGGGTGGAGAGCAATCCTAGACTTAAAAAGCCTCAACAGACACTTGGCTTACAGAAAGTTCAAAATGCAAACCCTACAGTCAATATTAGCAAGCATCAGAAAGGGAGACCTCCTGATGTCCATAGATCTGACAGAGGCCTTCACATTCCCATATTTCCGGAACACCGGAGGTTTCTCAGATTCTGCCACACAGGGCAGCATTTTCAATACAGGGCCCTGCCTTTTGGACTTTCTTCAGCTCCCAGAGTATTCACAAAGGTACATCTGCGAACAATTCCTGTGGGTATTCAATGTTATCTGGATGACATTCTCATCCAGTCTTTGTCAGACAGCATAGTCAGACCTAGCACTAACCCTAACAACCTTTCAGGAACACGGTTTCTCAGTAAATTTCCAAAAGAGTCAGACGGTCCCATCGACCCATCTTTTACATCCTGGAGCTTTGATAGACACACTCCAGTGCAGGGTCTACCTCTCTCGAGATCGTCAAGACAGCATTCGAACCATGGTCAAATTGGTTTGAAAGAAGCAAGCCACAACACTGGCCACACTCTCCCAATTACTAGGAAAGATGATTTCATGCCTTGCAGTCGTGCCCTGGGCATGACTACACTCCAGAGATCTGCAGTGGTTCCTACTCCCATTCCAAAAGAGGAGAATGAGCTCATCCAACCAAAGAATAAAGATACCACCAGGGGTCCTGAAATTCCTCCAGTAGTGGGCTTCTCCAGCGCTCAGAAAGAGACACATGTTCAAGAAGACCGACCGGGTCACTCTGACCACGGACACCAGTCTATTCAGCTGGGGAGCACACCTACAATCACAGCTGACACAGAGCCAATGGTCAAGGGAGGACCTAAAACACAACATAAACTGGTTAGAGCTCAGAGCCATTCACCTAGCCCTTCGCCATTTTCACAACACAGTAGCAGATCAGCATGTCATGGTTCTCATGGACAATGTGGTGGCCAAAACCCATGGCAATCGACGGGGGCACGCGATCCAGGGCTGTCATGACCAAAGCACAGGCGCTGGGAACCTGGGCAGAAAGCAACCTAGCCTCCCTCAAAGCCAAGCACATATCAGGAGAAGCAAATCATCAGGCGGATTTCCTAAGCAGGGCAACGATAGACCACTCAGAGTGGAGTCTGCACCCTGCTCTCTTCAGGGAAACATCAGAGAGATTCAGCCACCCAGTGCTGGACCTATTTGCCAGCCCCAAGAATGCTCAGCTCCCGAGGTTCTTCTCCCGCTTTCTATCACCAGGGGCAGAGAGAGCAGATGCACTTCGAGGGCATTGGCCAGAGGGGCTGCTATACGCGTTCCCACCACTTCCTCTGATACAAGCAACCATCAGAAAGATATTGCAGGAACAAGCAGAGGTAATTCTCATTGCACCACATTGGCCAAGACGGCCATGGTTTGCAGACCTCGTAAGTCTCTCTACATCCCCACCATGGAGGATTCCACATGATCAAATCTCCCTCAACCAGGGGGCTCTACTTCATTCAAAGCCACAATGGCTCCAATTAGCCGCCTGGCACTTGAACGGAGCACCCTAGAGGAGGAAACCTTTTCACAAAGAGTCATCAGGACAATCCAGGCCTCTAGAAGGTCTACAACTAACAGACTCTATGACTCCACGTGGAGAAATTATTGCAGCTGGTACACAAAACAGCAGCTAGACCCCTTTAGTATTTTGATTCCGAGGATCTTAGACTACCTAGCAGAGGGCCTGGATAGGGACTAGCGCTCAACACAATTCGCAGACAGCTTTATCTACCATTCTTACCTATGGCAACTCTGAACCACTGGCCAGTGGTACGATCCTTCATTAAGGGCGCAACAAATGACAGTCCACCCGCAGTCCACAGATATCCCTCCTGGGATCTGTCTAAGGTCCTACAGGCAATTACCTTACTCCCATTTGAACCAGTTCGGACCTGCGTCTTACAATACTTGACACTTAAGGTCACCTTTCTAGTTGCTGTTACCTCAGCTAGACACATTTCAGAGTTGGCAGCACTATCAGTTAGAAAGGATCTGTGTATCTTCCACTTGGACAGAGTGGTCCTACGTTTGGACTCTTCCTTCATCCCCAAGTCAATTCCCTGTTTCACAGAACACAGGAGGTAGTGCTACCAGACTTTTGCCCCAAGCCCTCCCATGAATTGGAGTGCAAGTGGCACACCTTAGACGTTCGCAGGGCTTTAAGACGATACATTAAACTGACGGCACCCTTCCGTAAGTTGGAAGCCCTGTTCGTCTCCTTCCACTCTCACACAAGAGGTCAAAGGGTCACAGCTTCCACAATCGGAAGATGGATTAGGAGGTGCATAGCAGAGGCATACAGGGGACAGTCATTAGCAGTCCCCAGGCAAATCACTGCACACTCCACTCGCAGCGCTACCACCTCAGCAGCCTGGGTGACTCAGGCACCGATTGAGGAGATATGCAGGGCGGCGACGTGGGAATCACTTTCCCCCTTTATAAGACACTACAAGTTAGATAGGTTCGCATCTGCGGAGGCCTCCTTTGGCAGGAGAGTCCTCCAGAGTGTAGTTTCAAAGAGTGGGACCCAGACTGACCCCTGCCCATAGGGATAGGGAGGCTTTGGTATGTCCCATTGGTGGATTCTCCACTCGTCATGCTGGAGAAGGGGCGTTGTCTTACCTGAGCACCTTTTCTCGGCATGACGATGGAGAATCCACTCCCACCCTTAGGGCCAGTCAGGTCCTATGCAGGGAGAAGATTGAGCCAACACAAGATTACATAGCCAACAGCTTTCGCTTCAGTCAAGACTGGGAAAGGGGCATCTCAAGAGGAAGAAGACAAGCAGAACCCATTGGTGGATTCTCCATCGTCATGCCAAGAAAAGGCATTCAGGTAAGACAACGCCGCTTCTCAACCATGGAAGCTCATTGAATAATTTTGGGCCAGCATGCTATTTCAGCCCTACCTGCTTCACACAAATGTAATGTAGAAAAACTGGAGGAGACTGTGCTGTATATATTGCCTTGAGTTCTTGAAGGGAGTATACAAATCTAACAAATAAAAATAAATAATTAAAAATAAACAAAAGCTACTTGTCTTCAACACTGCAATACACTGTACAGTCAAAGAATAGGTATAAATTTTTGAAATATAATATTTGGTGTATGGTTCATATTTTTTTTTTTAAAAAAGCTATTCAAATGCTAAAAGTGCAGTGGCTCACCTGATTAGGACATGAGCTAACGATTAGCAGGCTCATGTTTGCAACCTGTTGCTGACATGAGGTGAGGTAAGTTCCCATCATATGCTCTAGCTTCTGCTGACCCAGCAGTTCATAAGCTGGCTACTGCAAGTAGATAGATGGGTACCACATCGGTGGGCATCTTAATGGGTACATGAAAGGAGTCCCCAATTGGGTGTTCCCCAGGCAACGGTGATGTTATTGTTCAATCCTTTAATCAATTGCTCCCAACACCATTGTAGCAGTATTCAGTTGCTATATTGTCATCTGTACCCCTCTTCCACAATTAATAGGCAAGATTTATTATAATAATATGAATTAAGATTTTGAATGCCTAATAAAGACATAGAATATATTAATAAAAAAATTATTCTGAAAGGTTTCTCATTTTCAGGAGAGGTTCAAGTCCAACCCTAACTACCATTAACAGCCTTTTTTGGATTGTGGTGAAATAGAAATATCTTTAATAAATACATTCTGAGTAGTTATGCATCATACAATGTACAGCCCAAAATTTTTGTTGCTAAGTGAATTTTACCCATTTTATGACCTTTCTTGACACAGCTGTTAAGTGAATTACTGCAGTTAAGTTAATAACACAGTTGTTAAGTGAATCTTCCCATTGACTTTGCTTGTCAGAAGGTCACAAAACCAGATCAAATGATCGTGGGATACTAAAACCATTGTAAATATGAACCAATTGACAAGCATCCAAATTTTGATTGACCATAGGGATGCTGCAATGATCCCGTGATAAACAATCATAAATTACTTTTTCAGTGCCATTGTAACTTCAGTCACTAAGTTAATATTTGTAAATCAAGGACTATCTGTATAAGTTTTAGAAGGAGAAATACTGAGTTTTGTGCACTTGAAAATAACATATTTACACAAATGCAGTGTTGCACTTAATATGTATAAGCACATACAAATTGCCCTAAGGGGAAAAAAAATAAAATGTTCGTAAGTGTACTAAATTGGCCAAAATATTGCCATTTTAGGAAGCTTTGTACCTGTCCTCCATGCTAACATCAACCATGTATCGTATTTATAAACATATGTTTAGGTATTCAAGTTTAAATAAACATTTAGTGTACTGATCTCCTAAATTATGTAAAGTTAGTAAAACCTGTCTTACTCAAAGATAGTTCTACAGGCAGACCCACATTTATGTAACAAATTGATATGGCTGTCCATTTCATCGAATAAGCGCAAAGGCTCACATGAACTGGCAATGGGGCACTCGTTCCAGGTCCCTCATGATGAAGGCTCGGGCATTGGGCTCCTGGGTAGAGACCAACCTGCTTTCCATCAGGGCCGAGCATATTTCAGGAGAAGTGAATCGGCAGGCGGACTTCAGCAGGTCAATAGTGGACCATTTGGAATGGCGGTTGCACCCGGATCTCTTCAAGGAGATCACAGACAGGTTTGCCATCCGATTGTAGACCTGTTTGCCTCACCGGAGAATGCTCAACTTCCAGATTCTTTTCACGCTTCTCTCAAGGAGTGGAGGGGATGGATGCTCTACGCAGCCCATGGCCACAGAGCCTATTGTATGCCTTTCCTCCTCTCCCTCTGCTTCCAGCAGTTGTCAGGAAGATCCAAGATATGAGCAAGAGCTCAAGCAAGTCAGCTGACAAGCAGGCCGATCGCTTGCACCAGGCCCTGGAGAAGCAAATATCTCTGGCTCAATGATTGTCAGCTGGGGAAGGGTGCAAATCACCACTTCCCCCACTTGCAGCTCCCGCAATGGACTCACAATCGCTTACTTCACATGGGAGCGAGAGCTTCAGCAGGTCTTAGTACAGAACTTTGGTCAGGGAGGTCCACCCCTCTTTGGGGAGGAACTCAAGCCACCAGGCCCCTCCACGGAACCTACAGCGACCTTCACCCCGACTGCAGCAGGGCTTCATTCTTCACAGGATCCCTCCTTTGCTGATCAGCTGCAGGCCATGATATCACAAGCAGTCCTTCAAGCGATGGCCTCGTCGATTCATCAACAACCTTTATCCCTGCCAAGATCGTCATCAGTGCCAACCATCTCAACACGGCCCACACTGCTCAATCACCTTAGTGCCATCTCACCCCCCCATTCACCAGGATCCAACTCTTCCAGCTCCTCTGAGTATGACTGCACTGCTGACCAGTGGTCAGATTGCGAGGAGCCTCCACAAGACTCTCATCCCATGGCAGAGCTCTTTAACACTTTGCTCTTTCCATCTTTACTTCGCAGAGCATGTGCAGTGGGTAAGATCACTTCTGACCCTATTCCCAACCCGGAAACTTCCGCTACTCAGGATAACAGATCCGCTGTTCTCAGAACTGGTAATTCAACATCAGCAAATCCCTTGTCCCCCCTTATTCCTTAAAAATATTCAGGGACAATGGGAATCCCCAGCCGCACAAACTTCCCAGGAGGGAGCTGAGCGCAAGTTAGTAGATATGGCCCAAAATTTAACTGATCTATTGGAGGTGCCTAAAATGGATGAATCTCTAGCACCACTATTCTCAGCCGCCAGGCTACCAGCAGATGTCTCTGATGCCCTTAGGGCGGAAGATAAGTCCGAGCTAGCATTTCGCAAAGCTCACCAAACATCTGTATGGGCGGCAAAGGCGGCAACCTCCACTTCCTTTTTCGCCAGAATTTCCTCATTTGGCTTAGACAGTTTCAGCAGAGGATTCCCCTAGAGGAGGTCAGGACCTGACCAAACTGATAGCAACCTCTGAGTACATGGCGGATGTGTCCTTATACACCACCAGGCACTCGGCCCGAGCAATGGCTTCCAACGTCGTCGCACAGAGGCTGCTTTGACTTAAGAACTGGAGGGTTGAGAGTAAACACAAATGGTGGGTGGCCATGGCTCCATTTAAGGGAGGTTGGCTATTTGGGGAGGCATTAACCCCCTTCCTGGTGGAGAACAAACAAAAACAGAAGGTTATCTCTCATTTGGCTAAGAGAACAAACAGGCAGTTCCTTCCCTATGGCCGCTGTCAGTCCTTTTGGACTGGACAAACATACCGTCTCTCTACTCCCAAGGCAGACCATCCACTTGACAGGAAAAATTATAGGGACCGGCCCCGACACCAGACCCAGAACAAGTCTTCCTTTCTAGGCAGAGGGGGTCGTCCCTTCCGTCGCTCCAAGTGACTTAGGGGGGACCCCTCCCATTGGCGGCAGACTCACTCTCTTCATCCGCCAATGGGAAAACACAACCACAGACTCCTGGGTAGTACAGACCATAAGGGAAGGTCTGTCCCTGGAGTTCATAACCAGTTTGACACCCCTGTTCTAGAGAACTTGATCATAGCAGAAAAGGCATACTGTCGGTCTCATCAGAGAGAACTATTTAGCAGCTGAGACCCACAGCATATCCCTCTTACTAGATTTGATGGGATGGGTAGATATGATTATGAAGAAATGCCAGAAGATTTGGACTTTAAGATTTACAAAATCTGTTAATGTAGCTATATAATAAAGTAGAATTAATTCATCATGTTTCCTTGTCTACTTGGGAGACATGCTAGGGCTACATGTAACTGTCCATGCCACATTCTGCACTAATTTAAATTTGGATATTTTTCAAGGGCAGTTACATGTATAGCACATTACGGAGGAGACCAGGGCATGAGTGGCTATGAGCAGTCTCTCAGGAACCAAAAAAGAGTGCAACTGGTGCACAACACAAACCTACACAAAGGCCATCTTAACCACGAGTGCCATTTCCTTCTCAAGCAGTAGTCACCAGTCTAGAAGTACCCTCAGATTGTGTATCATATCTATTGGGAGTAGTTCTAGTACCAAAAGAAGTCCCAGATCCAGAAGAACAAAACTTATAAACACTCAGTCTTGCCAAGGTTCACTTGAAGCCTGTTGTTCCTTTTCTACATCCCTGAAGCCTCCTGGCACTTAGACATCAACAATATTGCCAAGGTGGAGATACATAATTGGCTTTCATGAGCACACTGATATTTCACCCCAAGGCAATGAAACTTATCCTGAGGCAGATGTTAAACAGGAATGGAGAGAGTGCCAAACTTTGCAGCATTCCACATATGCATATTCTGTTGTCATTAAATGAAAGTTGTGTCTAAATTCATTTAAAAATCTGAGCTCAAGGAACAATGGGAATGCGAAGCTATCTTTCCTGCCTTGGAAATATTTGCTAGCCTTGACTGACTTATATCCCATAATATTGATTGGAAATAAGCATACTTAGCTCTATGTCTATTTTTAGTCATAAAATATTTTGGATGACTGAGAGCCACTAGTATAATTTACAGCATTATTTTCTCAACATTGTTGCAAAGAGGACACAGTATGTGGGAAAAAGCAAGATACATTGCTTTTGTTCCTTCATTATGCCTTTATTAGCATAATATTGACCTGCCTCTGTGAATATTAATCTGTAATTGTAATACTGCCATTATATCTTAAGGACATAATTAAACTAAGAAGAAATAGCTCTCATAATAATAGTAGTGTCTATCTTTTAAACGAGGAACTTCTGATGTAAAATCTTATATATGTATATATGCAGGTCTTGGCATATTCCCATGTAAGATTGAGAGTATCTTGGTGACGTTTCGACGAGGTCCTACTCGTCATCTTCAGGCTGGGGTCCTTCTCTTGGGAATCCGTTGGAGTCCAGAGTCAGAACAACACAGTACGCCACCACCATTCACCCTCACCAGACCCACACCCAAGCCCAAATCCATCCCTCAGATGAAATGCAACCACCATCCAGAAGTCAAACTATGATGACATCACCAGCTGCTGCACCTCCCTCCCACCTCCACACAAAGCAAACGGACACACGCCATGAAAACAGAGCTAGACCACAAACTCAGAGTCAAACCAAAGCCTGGCATGTTACATTACAGCCTTCTGCTCCGGACATCACATCACAGAACTCAGGAGGTTACAACGCTAAAGCTCAGGATGTTACAACACAGCCAACCACCCAGGATGTTGCAACACAGAACTCAGGATATTACTACACTAGATCTCAGGATGTTACCACACAGCCCATTACCCAGGTCATTATAACACGAAAGACTAATGGGCACACAGCCAGCACCTCAGCTATTCAGGATGCTATGAAACAGCCGAACAATCCACAAACAATAACTCCAACACAGCCAACCAACCATCTACAGCAACTAAGCCAGCACTCCACACACCCCCACCAATATTTATAGAGAGACAGCAGCTCCGATTACACTTTGCTCACACAAGCACGAAGCCGAAGACCCCAGCCTGAAGATGACGAGTGGGACCTCGTTGAAACATCGCCAAGATACTCTCAATCTTACATGGGAAAAGACCCAAATATGCCAAGATCTGCATACCTGTACCCATGAAAATCTACGAAAACAAATATAATATATATGTATGTATTATATGAATTTTATAGAGAGGGGAATAAAATAGGTAGGGGTATAATGTAGGGTAAAGAATAGGGATTAAACCAAAGGTAGGGAAAGGTACAATAGTGGGGTTACCCCCAACAATAAATCCACGCTTTAGCAAGCAGACTATTGTCCAGGTATACATGTTAAAAGTCTGTAGTTAATATAATATTAAACAGCTATGTTGAATAGATTTTTTAGTAATAATAAGAATGAGAAATTAACCAATATATATCATTCTACGAATAACAATAATTAATACTATACTATTAATAATATATTACTAATTGAATATAATTATTTATAAATACTGATATGTTGCTTATTAATTATAATTATAGATAAAACCAGAAATATAAAAGTATTCACAACAATGAAGTAACATAAAGGTTGAATAGAAAGTATCATTTATCCTATTTAGTTTCATAACCTTTTCTCATTCTGTCATATTGCTAACCATTGATAGAATTTTTCCCATGTTTTTAAATAAATTGTGTCTTCTTTCTCTTTGATTTTTAAGGTTAATCTATCCATTTATGCACATTCCAATAATTGGTGATAATAATCTGATCAGGTGGTAACTTTTCATTTTTCCAAAATTGGGCAAATACTATTCTCGCAGCTGTTAATACATATAATATCAGGTATTCATTCTCTTTTCCATAATTAGATCCTAGTATTACTAGTAGAAAGAGTTCTGGTTTAAATTCTGTCTGCATTTTAGTCATCTTTCCTAACCATATATGAATCTTAAACCAATATTTCTTTGCATTAGGGCATATCCACCAGACATAATAAGTCCCTGGGTTTTGTTTACATTTCCAACAAATGTTTGATACATTTTTAAACATTTTCTCTAATCTAACTGGTGTCATGTGCCATCTATAAAACATTTTATATAAATTCTCCTTTTATGCAGCTGCTTTAGTAAGTTTGATATTTCGATCCCAAAGTTTTTGCCAGTCTTCTAAATCTATAGAATATCCAAAATTCTTTGCCCATCCTATCATTGTTTCTTTTACTTGTTCTTCTTCCATCTTCCATCTTAACAAAAATTTGTAAAGTTTTTTAATCAAGTTTTCATCTGTTTTTAGCAGTATTTTATCTAATGGTGTCTGTTCTTTGTAAAATCCTGTAGATTTTGCGTCTTTTTCATATCTTGTCTGAATTTGCAAATAAGACCACCATGTTAAGTCAATACCATTTGCTGAAGAACTTGTCTGTCTTTAAGTTTTCCACTTTTGTCCAAAATATCTTTATAGATAACAAGTTTGCCATAATTAATTACATTTGGATAAGCAAAAGCTTCCATTGTTGAAAGCCACTCAGGTATTTTCATGTAGATTTTATGTTTAATTCTTTCCCACTCTGAAAGCAATACATTCCTTATGGCGTGATTTTGAAAATATTTATTTTTCTCATACCACAAAAACGCATGCCAACCCAATTGCAAATCATGTTCCTCTAGATAAAGAAGTCGTTTATTTCTCAGTGTGATCCATTCTTTAAGCCAAAGCAAAATGGCTGCCTGGTAATAAAGTCTCGAGTCCGGGAGTCCAAAGCCCCCTCTGTCTTTGGAATCTTGTAATAATTTAATTTTAATTCTTGCTTTTTTTCCTTGCCATATAAATCTCATTATAGTAGCATACCAAGTCATCCGCGAAAGCCTGTAATTTATATTTCTGGTCTTTTATCTCTAGTCCTTTGATCTCCATATCTTGCCTAATATTCCTAGCCAATACTTCCAATGTAAAAATAAATAACAAGGGAGACAATGCACATCCATCTTGTGCCTTTTTTTATTTCAAAGCTGTCTGTGTAGTCTCCATTTAAAAGTACCCTTGCTGATTGTTTATTATAAATTGCTTGAATAAAGTTTTCACCAAACTCCATCTCTTTCAACTGTTGGAACATAAATTGCCAATTGAGATTGTCAAAAGCTTTTTGTGCATCGAGAAATATGAGTACCAACTGTTTCCCCGGATGGTTTTCATAGTATTCCAAAACATTTAAAATGATCCTTAGATTATTCTTTATCTGCCTTTTAGGCAGAAAGCCATTTTGGTCCTAGTGGATAAATTCAGTCAAGAATTTCTTCATTCTTTCCGCCATTATTGCAGTAAATATTTTATAATCCACAGGAGGGGATTATCTGTGGCTTTGAAGGACTGTGGGGAGGAAAGGCTGAAGGAGGCCAGGGCCCTTCAAGTTTGGAACAGGGAAGGCAGAGCTCAGACGAGGAGCAAGGCCCCTCCCCACCAGATCCCAAAGCAAGGAGAGCAGAGAGGAGGGAACAATGGAGGCAGGCTCACTTGCTCGGGAGGAGAGCGTCAAGCCCCACTTCACAAGGCACACCTGGGGAATAGGTATTTAAGGAGATGCTGTGGGGTGGGGCATTTGCTGGGAACAAACAAGAACTCTTGTGATATGAGCTCTTGTACCTGGACTCTTTGTATTTTGGAGGTTACAGGCAAGCTGGGCGTTGAAAAGATCATACTTTGTTATCTGTTTTACTTTAAAGAACTGTTTAACTCTGTTTAACTCTGTTGACTGTTTTATTTAACTTGTGCCAGCATCTGTGGGGGCTGTTGGGTGAACATTGGCAGGGCTTACAAAGACAATTATTCTGACCAGCTAATTGCTTTGCCTCCATTCGGGGGCTTGGGTCATCACAGTACATAAAACTTTGCAGGGAGACCATCGGGTCCTGGAGTTTTATCCTTCTTTTGCCTTTTTATCACCTCTGTGAACTCCATCATTGTTATCTTCTCGTTTGACATGTGTTGCATATTCTCTGATACCTTTGGAAGATTGGCTTCTTTTAAATAGTCCTGTATTGCCTCATTCGAGACCACCTCAGTCTTATAAAGTGTCTCATAGTAAGTTTTAGTAATTTTTTAAATTGCACCATGTAAAATCTTTTATCACACTGCATTGCTTTCCATGGAATATACAAGATAGCAAATCAATGTTTTTATTAAAACAAATCCCCTTTTTAACAATTGTTTGATATTGTTTACAAAATGGGAACAAAGATGTTGTCAAGAGTGATTCGCTTTTCACCTAGTTCTTCTCCGCTCTCAACTTGATACCAAGTGGAAGGGGGGCAGTTGAATTGCATGGGGTGGGAATGGAATGCCAAGAATCTGTCGGCAGATCGTGAAACCTTGCTCTTCCCTTCAAGGCCACACTATGCAAGTGTTTGAATGGTTCAGGCAGTTCCCATAACAAAGTGAGCTATGTGATTGAACATTGCAATGGACTGAAGGGGACGGCCAAATGGGGGATTCAAGTTTAATTATGTGGACATTCAAGTGGGAAATTCAGAGCTGGTTTTGTTTCTTTTTTTATCAATATGTGTTTTCAATAAAAGTGTTACTTTTGGGAAGAACTATATCCCAGGAGTTCTTTTCTTGGATTTGCTAGCTGGACATTTGACAATTGCATACATATCAGAGAAAGTATTGTATTCTCATTTGTCAGCTCAAGTAGTATAGCTAATATTCTGAAAATAAATTATTAAACTTCAACTGCTAATGCTTTTCAGTATAATTATTGTCTCAATTACAAGCAAATCAAATATAGTTTTGGAAGCCCAATTTTAGCTATGAATTAAAAATAGTACTTTTTATAAGTAAGCTTTGCTGAGGAAAAAGGAAGTGGAATTAAACTTTTAGGTCAATAAGATGAATCCTTGTGAATTCCAATTACATATTGATTCCTCAGAGAACAAACTGTCAAACAAAATTTACCCACTAAAGTAGAGAAAAAAAACTATTTTGTCTTATAGTAATTTGATGAAATGAATGACACAACTACAAAGTCAATTAGGAGCTTGGCACAATTTCACTGATTTTGTGAACTGTAATATGTAATAGACCATTTAGAGTTGAACTACCAACTACTCTTGGCTTTCAGGACTATACTAGTAAAACAAATACTATTATTAGTGATGGAGATAATTTTTCAACTAAGACATAGCAAAAATTATGAAGCAATTAAAACTTTGGTAGTATTATTTAATAGAAATTCTTTGGAATGGAATGACATTTTTTTTATTGGAAAGCAGGAAACAATTTCAGAATTAAACATTTCCTTAAAACATTATGAATATTCCTCTTTGGGGAGTTGAAAAAAAATAATGATATGCAAATTCTAAAGATCATCAAAGAACCAGAAAAAACAGTTTACCATATTAAAGAAATAATTTTTGTACTGGCCAATGGAAGAACCTAATTGGGCTGTAGTATTTAAAGGTGGTGTTTCCATAATCATAGTGCACCTATCAGGATTTTGTAAAATTGCTTAGCTATTTAAAGACATGGTGTTTATCTACTATTCATAACACTTTATTTGGTACTCCTATTTCTTGTTGACTATGCTGCATTATGATCCAAGTATCTAGAGTGCAAGTCCTTATCTATATTTCCAACTAGAAGCTGCCTAGAAGAAATGATTAGATTTTTTTAATGAGCACTTCAGTGAGAGAAGGGGAAGGGGCTGTATAGTGAGGCTGTCTTGCAACATGCAACCATAATGAGCAGGCTCCATTGCAGTCATAGGTAAATTGTCATCGTTTTATAATCACACAGTAACAAAAATAATACAAATAACATAATTCACATCACTTGTGTAATGATCTTGCTGTGGATGACATAGTGTCCAATTTAATATGCAATTGAAAATAACAGACATCCTCTTTATCAAACTACAATAAATCATGGTTTCATTCTGTATAGGTAACATAATTGTAAAAGCCTTTAGTTTTTTTCAGATTTACAACTACAAGTTAAGAAATATATATATATATATATTAAGAATGCACCTGAACTGAAATATGAAAAGACACAAACACAAATATTGCATTAATTAATAATAAGCACCAAATCAATGTTTCCTTGAAATTCCATTTTTAACTTGTGAGAACCATTGCTAGAGCCTCATAATTTCTTATAAAGAAGTATGGAGTCAGAAACTTGCATTTATACTTAATATAAATTAATATACTAGCTTCATAGTGAACATTTCTTCAAGTTTTCTAGTGCACTAATGTTGAAATTTTAAGAAAATTAATCAAATTATTCTATTTAAATCTACAGTCTAAATATGGTTCTGAATCTATTAGAAATAAAGCACTTTTCATGAATGTAGAATACAAATTTTAAGAAGCAAACGATGATAGATAAACCGCATGATGTACATTCTGCAAATAAGTAGGTTTCTAGGGATCTTTCATTCTTTGAGTTATAGCACAGCTATCCTTTTATAAGTAGAAGAAAAAATCTGCAAAATAGCAAGATATGTCTATTTCTGTGATCAATTTTTTTAAAGAAGACAAAACATCTTGATAAACTAGAAGCGCTGAAATAAAATAAATTTAGGAGCAAAGCTAAAAATAGGATCAGTAAAAGCCCACTGGCCAAATTAGATTCAAGTCTATCTAAACATATTAGAAACTAAAAATACTTTGCATTTTTCCCTAATAACTAAAGAACAGCATTATTGGTCCCAAATGATAAGTATATAAATTAAATACCAAAACTAATGTACATATTTCAAAAAAACTTCTTTTCCCAATGGCAAACATTAAAATTAAAGTTAGGAGTACAGATAGAGGTATTTATCAGAAATAATATTAAATTATGAAATCTGGAAACTTATATACTAGTATCCAAAGTCTAACTAGCTATTTTATGCACCTGAAAAAATACATCAGTTTTATTCAGGCAACTGAAATATCTACCATGAATACGTACTTGAACAGAACATCTAAAACAATGCTTTACATGTATTGGATATTTTAAAATAAACTAATGTTTCAACTTTTTTCTGTATTAAGTATTTCCAATATTATCAATTCCATAGAATATTAAGGTGTTTGGCAGATGATTTTTTTAATATTTTCCTTCTACTTTACAATAACATTTTTATATAAATGTTATTTGGCTGTACATAATTGATCTAAAAGAAAAGAGCCAATCAGGCAAGTTAGGGATCAAAGTAGAAGCAAGCTGCAGTTCAATAAATTGCAGGTATTGAGTATTTTCAGTAAACTCCAGGTATTTCATGGAGAAATGGTTCCTTAAATTTAAATAATTTTGAAATAGTTTTGTGTGTAACAATTTTATCTTTTTTTGATTGCCTGCACTGACCCAGTGTATAGGAAGCCATTAAAATAAGCTCTTCTTTTACTACTGGTTCTTCTGTTTTTTCTCCGTTTGTAGAATTTTCAGATGTAGAGATTTCATTTATAATAGTGGTATTTGTTTCATCTTCTGTGTTTTTAATACAGCATATTTTATCAGGCATATCAGTTTGAGCCAGCCAAGAATGCAGCAAACATTCTTCTGCAGTTGCCCGTTTCCTAAATAGAAAAAAGAGAGAAATTGATTTAAAGAGTCTGGCAACAAAATTTTAAGGCTTAAAATCACATTCAAAATCTATTTCACATTATTTTAAATGTTGACTTGTACTGTAAATTATATACTAAATTAGACTGCATAATTTGAATAATCATAAATAAATCACAACTAAGAATAATTCAGTAGTCACTTTATACCAGTTATTTTATGTGGGTCAATATTTTGATCATTTTGAAGAAAACACCTCTCTGGAATCTTGTTAGCTTTAAGAATATTTCAACTTCACATGAACTATGTTTTTCAAATGTTAAGATACAATCTATTGCAAGTAGTCAAATTCTTTTTTAAAACTTACAGTTTTCATCAGAGGTTATTTTTTATTTTAGGATGAAATAAATAGATTATATCACAGTAGCCCTGAACATCAACCTGTGAATCTACATCCAGAAAAGTTAAATTACATGTATTAAAATCATATCTATAAAGTTTTATATTTTCAGTTTAATCTTCAGAATCATAGCAAAATCTACTGCTAATGCAAAATCACATGATATGATATTGTGAAATATATTAAGCCAAGAGTAAAGTAACTTAAATAATCATTTACATTTGCAATTCTTATTTTTCATTTACATAGATTAATATTCATGAAGAAAAATAATTAAAATACATCTTACTCGGGTTTTTTAATCAAAAGAGATTTGATGAAATCTACTGCATATTCAGATACAAGATCAAAATCTTCAGAGTAATTTACATTTATCTGAGATATATTTAAGAATGTTTCTTGTTTATCATTCCCCCAAAAAGGTGACACTCCTGTTAGCATGACATATGTTAACACTCCAATGCTCCTAAATAGAAAAACAAAATAAAAATGTGTAAGCTTCATGAGAGAAAAATATGTGGTTTTGAGTTAACATTTCAATAAAGTGCTTTTCTTACCACATATCTGTTGCAGTGCTGATTGGATCATAGCTTAGAATTTCTGGAGCTATTAGAAAAAATACGGTTAAATTGCAAAAAAAGACAACAATAAGATGGCAAAGAGATGGTATTTCTTGTATTTCTTTTGACATGTGCAATCTAGTTAGTAGAAACAAATTCTTCAGCCCTTGGAACTGAGAACTGAAACAGTATAATAATGTGAAAGGGAGAGAATATATAAACTTCATTTGGAGATGTAAGTTGAAGTGTAACACATGCTAATCAAATTTTATTTACATTCAAAGGCAAATTGTATAAAAACATCAAACATGTAATAAATCTTGAATATTAAAAAAATGAACTAATTGCCTTCTGGAAGCAATTTATTAAAACCTACTTATTTCCTTATTGTGATCATGACTAAATAGTATTTTACTATCTTTTTTGAGATTTTTAAGAAATTATATAGTACTGGGACATACTGTGTAAGGAGTTTCCAAAAACTCAGTTTACAGGAATGGATGGTAATGAAAGTGCAATTACTTGATTTTTCACGAGTGTCCTTCCTATAGCTTACCTTACAAGCAGATAAAATGCTTTCAATATTCTACAAAGCATTTTCACAGAATTAGAGGAACTACTTTATAAGAGCCCGGGTGTTGCAGTGATTAGAATGCAGTATTGCTGGCTAACTCTGTCCATATACTGGAGTTCAATTCTAATGTAATAGTAATAGTAATAGTAGTAAAGTTGGAAGGGACCAAGGTTGACTCAGTCTTCCATCCTTCAGAGGTAAACTGCCCAGAGAGTGCTGTAAAACACTATAGAGCAGTATATAAATCTAAGTGTTATTACTATTGTTACCTTGGGAAAAAGATGACTGGAAAATCTGCTTTGCCAGCCCAGTTGCAAGAATCAAATGAAATCTAAGGAATGTAATGCTAACTAATGAATGTAGGTTATGCTCACACAAACTGTGAAAAGGTTTTATTTGTTCTTCTGAATTTTTATTGGAATAGAAATTGGATATTATAAGATATGAAACATTAAATTCTTAAATATTAAACACCTTAAGCTTAAATTCTGATAAATATCACATAACTCAAACATTTGCATTATATGCTGCAGGGTATTTGTTCTGAAGATCATATAAATAACAAACATACCAACATATTCAGGTGTTCCCATAATTTCTCTTACTTCTTCACTATTTTTCATTACTCTGGAAAGTCCAAAGTCAACTATCCGAATTTCTCCAAATGGCGATTCACAAGTTAACAAAATGTTTTGCGGCTAAAAACATATAAAGGGAAATAAGCTTACTAGAAAATAGTTCAGCCATTAAAAACAGAAATAGGAGTATGTGTACTTTTTCACAGAAATAGCTAGAAATGGTTTGACAAACAGAAGTATATCTGCAGGGTCTGATGAAGCAAAATTGTAAGATTCATAGACACAATTAAATTGGTTGTTGCTATAATTTTTTTTTGTAAAAAATATTATAAGTTAGTTCTTGTGAGTTAATGGTCATTATCTTCTTCCTCTGTCCGTGGCCTTCAGCTTTATAGCTCAATTTTGCAAATACTCTAGTGTAAGAGAAAGGTTTCAAATACAAACTGCCATTTGCTTTCCTTTTGTGAATGGAAGAGAGGCATTTCTGCCTCAATGTTCAAGATTGTGAAAATTGGCAAAAAGGAATAAATCTCCTCTCTCTAAGCTTATTGTAGGAGAAGGAATTTCAACCCATAACAATATTTATGCTGTCTGTCAACTTTATCTCTATCTTAGTCGCATCTGTCTTGTCTATAATGGAACAATTGACTTATCCTTCATCAGAACAGAGTCTTTACTGGACTCTGGATTGATTCAGTCTCCCATTCTGGGTCAGTCCATTATGTTCTTCCATCATAAGTCTAAGAAGAACATGGAGAGAAAGCAACCAACTAAATCCACAAACTTATCCCAGAATCACAAAAAACGAAAAGCAGTACAAATAATGGATATCTATAGATAATTCAAGTAGATAACATTTCACAGTGAGAATTGATGTTCAAAGCACACTATTTCCATTCCTTAAATCAGTGAGCTATGTACAACCCAATTACAAATCATCTTCAATTAAGATTTCACAAAGTCATAACTTTCATTCTCACTGGTCCCCCCCTCCCAACTTTCTTTGTTTTCCTGATTTGGAGACTTAGCTTGGGGCTAAATTTGTGCCTTTTTTCTAGGAAAAGCTCAGCTTCAGAGGAAAAATAATCTCAAATTTCAAGAGAAAACATAAGAAAAACATTATGTGATGATTTCTTATCAGGCATATAACATTTCTTCCCATCAAAGCTTTGGATTTTACCATGTGTTATTTACATTTCTACCCACCTATTTAGGATAAATATCACTGCTATCAAACTAGTATTCATTAATTTATGTCTGCCCCATCATCAGTTTAAGATGATGATTATTTTATTTTTAATAAATTTTTATTAATAATACAAAATTAAAAACACATTGGACATAGATATGACATCACTGGTTCCATACATCTTCCAATATTTTACAATAGTATTAGTACTCATATAGACATATAGTTCTTGAACTTTGTTCACTATTTATAATATACTATTAACACTTTCCCCCTTATTTCTATATATCTATTTATCTTTTAAATATACATTTGTCTATAATCTATATTTTATTCTAGCACTATACATTTATCTTGGCTACCCTGTTATTGTCTATCTAATCATAAAATTGTTCCCAGATTTTATAGTACTTGGTTTCACATTTGTCCTTGAGTCCCCATGTAAGTCTATCCATTTAAGATGATGATTATTATGTGAATCAAAAATTATTTTGTATATTATTTGTCCTGAACAGATAATCATTACAGTATCTGTTCAGGAAACTGCGAGCTTCCCTTTCTTTCTTTTTTTTTAATATACATTTTATTGGTTTTTTTTTTAATTTTAACATCAAAGTGCTCAGGAAAACACCGTGGTGAAAGGGTAATCAATCATAACAAAACAAGTCATATATATATAAAACTAAAATTAATACCTTAAAAAAATCCCCCCCTCTATTTCCTCACATAATATAGCAAATTTAGTTTAATCTATTTCTTCTTAAAATTCAGTCAATCCACAGAACCATCCCTACTATTCCATCTACATAAATCACTCCTGCCATTAAGCTCCTCTAATTTCAATTAAAATATTCCAATTGATCTTAAACAAACATATTAATAAAATTTTGAGTATCCTTTCTAAATACATAAATATTCCAAGAATAACATTCTAATATTTTCACATATATTCCATCTCTTAATTTGATACATCATTAATTAATACCCTTTCTTCTCTTATCGTAGATCTAATTCTTCTGCTATTACAAAATAGTTTTCTATATAAACAAAGTAAACAAAAAACAAAAAAAGAATCATTTCGACCTGTTAAGTAAAATTTAACTCTCAACCAAATTAAATATCATATCTAAGACAGACATATTATTACACCAATTATTATCTTACTGCTTTCATTTACTCGATTAGATTGTCCAATCAGTCCAAATTTCTAAAGCCTTTTTGACCCAATAATTAAAATTTTAAATCACATTTTTAAATCTAACTCTGGCTTTTTTTCTATACCAAGCTGGTTTCCGTACTGTCGCTTCTATGTCATCAAATCTCAGTATTTGAGTACTAATGTTTATCAACAAATCAATCTGATCAAAGTTCTCTTCCCCTTCTTCCAGAATCATATACACAGTATAGTCCATTTTATTCCATATTATAAATTCAGCTTGCTTATCCAGGTTGTCATAACTTTCAATCGATCGCGTCTGGCTGTCAATTCCTGTTAATTTTGGCAAAGGGAGAACTTCACTTATAGTCATTTTTTGATCTTCAAAGTTCTCCATTTGTAGATAGACTTGTGAAATATCCTCCTCTGTAGTAGATAATTGATTTATAGAATAGTTATTTAAGGTCTTAATCTGGGATTTGGGGTCCAGAATTTTTCCAACGTTCAATTGATCAGTGAGTTCCTCCAACTCAAATTGTGTACACTGTTGCATATAAGCTTCTTCTTGGCCTGTAGATTGGTCTTTTAAAATTTGGGGCTCAGCTTGTGATTCTAGAAGATAGTCTTTTTCCATAACTTCATCTCCTCTGTCATTTCCAATATTTTTTCCAATATCAGTTCAAAGTCAAGCTGTGGGTAAAAATCTTCTATTTCCATAGTAAGAGAATCTTTTAAAGTTTTTGTGGAAACTATACTTATTAAGAGTCCATATACATCTGCCTCCACAATTTTTAAATCACAAACACAAACCACAGCTGTTTCCAAGCCTTTATCTTTTCTTCTTATTAATTCCTGAAATAGTGTTCTCCAAACACTATTTTCGCCACAAGATGTCCTCAGTAAGCTATAAAAAGCTTTTCTTTGCACGTTAAAAGCCTTTATCTCATTAAGAAACAGACCAGAGGAAGCAAATATCTTCAGTATAGTAAATAAAATAATGCTGTAAATTAGAAATCTTTCCAGGGATGCCCAGTATCCAAAAGGTTCAAAATATAATGAGTACTATTTCTATAGTTGATTTAAAGAATTATTATTATTATTCCCCCAAACAGACAGAAGCTGCTTTCTCAAAACAGGGAAGTCACCCAAAAAGTAAGCTCTTTGCAGGAAAAATAGTTCAGAATGAAGAGAGGGAGGAAAGGTCTCACCCGGATTCACGACGGTGGTTCTTTATGCTTAGATGATTTTCTGACTTCAGCTGGCACAGCGAAGTGATTGGCTATTTTACTGACCGATCTTCTTCTCCATCGGCCCTACGGAGTTAGCTCAGACTCTCCTGTTCCGGCAGGCCTGGGGTTGATGTTCCCGGGGGGGGGGGCAGGATACGATTGGGACATGCTGTGTGAATGTACTCATTTTTATTGTTATATTTATTGTTTTAATTTTGTATGCTGCCCTGAGTCCCTAGGGATTTCCGCAGCATATAAATTTTATAAATAAATAAATAAATACTGGTAGAGAAAAAAGCAGCCATCGAAGAGCAAGAGCTCTTTGTGTGGCTGAAGCTGTCTAATCCGGAAGCAGAAGTCCGGGCTTGCCTTTCTTATTACACTACCTTAATGATTACAACAATTCCAATATTTATTTCCAATATCTTAAATTGTTTCTGAAGGCTATAGTTCAGATCAAGCTTTGTAGGATTCTGAATATTTTGGAATGGTCTTGTAATTATCTGGTCACCATCAAGAATTTATTTTCAAAGCTAAAAAGTTTGAATTTGACAGAATATCAATTATATATACTGACAGTACTTTCACCAGGTTGTTTTGAGAAATCAATAGATTTTTCTCTTTATACTGCAACCTTATACTGAACACTTACTAGTGCTTGGGTGAGGTTCACCAACCTCTCTAATGTAGTTAACATTATGTTTCAAAGTATATCTTTAACTAGTTGCCCTGCAATATCAATTCAACCATTTCCAAGATATCTTAACAATAATACTCTTCAAAAATTCTGTGCTTGGCTCTTCGTGTCAACTCAGAAAAGTCATTCTGTAATTCTTCCAATTAACAGTATATAAATATCCAGGCTTCTGGTTCCGGATTGCAGCGTCTTTGGACACAAGGGGAGAGTCCCCTCCCCCGCCATCTGGTTTCTTTCCATTGAAAGATCCTGGAAAGGGTCGAAAGTCGCCCTGGAGGGGCGACCACCACTGAGGAGGATCCTCGCAGCCCTCCCACTTCAGCTGAGGCAGTTCCTTTGGATCGATGGAAGAAAGATCAGCCATCAACATGGCCGACCACCTAGCTGCACCAGCCAAAAGCACTTTTAAGCTCAATGAAGTACCATGGAAGATCTGGGTGAGACCTTTCCCTATCTCTCTCTTTACCCTAACTACCTTCCTGTGAAAGCTCCTTGAAACTCTCTCCCTGCTCTCAATTCAGCAGCATTTGCATACTTGGGAATTTAAGCTTTGGAAAGAAAAGAAACGAACTAACTTTAACAATTAGATAATTGGATTTTTGCTCTGTGGATACCTTGGGGTCCCGAAATTTCTTATTATAAAGACTTATCACTTACCTAAACTATTAATTTTGGAAAATATCTTTTTCTCTGTTTTTTAAACTGAAAAATAAAAAAAGCTAATTGGCATTTAAGAAAAGATTTTGTGGTCTGCTGAGGACATCTTGTGGCGAAACTTGGCATAGCAACTGAACCTCTTTTTTTTCTGTGCCTGTTGACTCCCTTGATTTGTCCTTCATATTATCCAAAAGATAAGAATTGGAAACAGCTGGCTGGTGAAAACATATTTTAGAAAGTGTGGAGGTGAATATTGGCTGACCCTTATTAAATATAGCCTCCACTAAAGGACTATCTCTAATCACCATGGAAATGGAAGAACTTTACCCACAACTCAACTATAAACTTATCCTTGAAAAAATTCTTGAAGCTACTGAACTAATTAAGTCAAAAGTGAAAGCCGAGGATATTTTCAAAATACTACAAATCGAACCCCAGACTCCAGATGATCAACCTACAAGCCAAAAAACAACAGAAGAGGAACAACAACATCTACAACCTATTAAAAACTTTGGTAATCCAACACTGACTTTAACTACAGTATCTATAGCTTCAAAAGCAACAGGAACTGATCAATAAACATACTACATTGAGAACTTAGACAATTTAGCTAACCAAACAATAACTACAACACTGGATATGCAAAAGGGCATCACATGACTCTGGAACACTGTGACCATCATAAATATGAATCAGTTTGTTTATTTATTTATTTATGAGACTTATATACCGCTTTAAGTGCAAGCACTCTCTAAGCAGTGTACACAGTAAGCAATGTATATATATTTACATTGCCCCCAACAATCTGGGTCCTCATTTTACCTACCCCAGAAGGATGGAAGGCTGAGTCAATCTTGAGCCGGTGAGATTTGAGCCGCTGACCTGCTGAACACAGTCAGCTAAAGTGGCTTGCAGTACTATACTCTAACTGCTGCGCCACCTCGGCTCTTCTACGCCAACCATCCAAATATAAATGACGTGGCCCTGGGCATGCTGCAATGGTCATAAGTGTGAAAAATGGTCATAAGTCATTTCAGTGCAATTGCAACTTTGAACAGGTTTTTTTTTTTTTTTGGTCATCAAGTTTTTGACATCTTGCTAGGTGGTACTTGAATACTGCCATATCCTAGAAGTGGTACAGTCAGTGAAAAGGTTGAAAAGTCCTGTGATAGAGCTCCTTTTATTGTACATTGTACTGTAACTGTGATGTAAGACTTTGCTTATCTGATTAGTCAGCATAACATCTTTTTGGCCTTAAGTCTCATTTTTCAAATTAAATATATATTTTTTACAGACAGCAAAACTTGTAATTATGTAAAGCATGCACTTTTTACCAATGTAAATATTGCTTTAGTTTGGTGGTGTTAGATTCTTAGGCCTTAACTTTGAAACAAAAGCTTACAGGATGCTATAAATCCCAAGATAGAAAATAATAAAAAGGCACATTAAACTTAGTTAAAAAGTAAAATTTCCAGGTATTCATCCAGTGGTGATGTCATGAGATTTCCAAGTGGCATAATGGGAACACCGTGATTTCTTATTCAGTTGCTGAGTCCTAACCATGGAGAAACTCCTCAAAGGGCTCCCACAAATGCAGCTCAGTAATATGTGCAAAGAAGCAACAGGAAAATCAGGGACAGGGAGTTCTTTAAAAAGCTATACTGGACTTAATCCTTACAAATAGAGAAGAAGTCATAGAGGGAATCGAAATTACCGGAACCTTGGGTGAAAGCGATCATGTCATACTGGAATTTAATATAAGACAAATACTAGCAATAGAAAACAATCCAACCAACATCCTAACTTCAAAAGAGCCGACTTTAACAAACTCAGAGAGAACCTAGGAAAGATCCCATGGATTAAAATCCTAAAGGGAAAAACAACCCAAGAAGCATGGGAAACCCTGAAAAATGTGATCACAAAAGCCCAGACCACCACAATACCACTGAGAAAGAAAAACAAGAAATCCAAGAAGAAACCAGCATGGCTGCACAAAGATCTTTCTAAGAAATTAAAAGACGCAAAGGACAAATACAAAAAATGGAAAGAGGGGCACATAACCAAGAGCAATAATCAGCAAAAAGCCAGGACATGCAAAGAAGAAGTCAGGAAAGCAAAGGCCTAGAATGAACAAAGACTCGCAACAGAAATCAAGGATAACAAAAAAAGTTTCTTCCAACATATTAACAAGAAAAAACTCAAGGAAACTGTAGGCCCACTAAAGAGAGAAGATGGCAAGGAAATTACAAGCAACAGGGAGAAAGCAGAGCATCAGTCATCACACAAAAAGAAACCATAGCCCAACACACCCCAAAAAAACCCTGCAAAAGACATAATAGAAACAAAAATCAAAATAAGCAAGAAAATGGTAAGAGAACATCTATCCCCCTTGACAAATATAGATCACTAGGACCCAACAAATTACATCCCGGAGCTGGCAAATATTATCTCAGAATCATTGCACCACATCTTTCACAAATCCTGGAGCACCGGGGAAGTACCAGAGGATTGGAAAAGGGCTGATGTGATCCCCATCTTCAAGAAAGGGGAAAAAAAACAGACTCAGGAAACTACAGAACAATCAATTTAATATCAACACCTGGGAAGATCCTAGAAAAGATAATCAAAAAACAAATCTGCAAACAATTAGCAGCCAGCATAGGTTTGTTAAAAACAGAACATGCCAACCTAATCTCATCTCATTCTTTGATAAAGTGACCAAACCAGTAGACCAGCGAAACACAGTGGACGTAGTATACCTAGATTTCAATAAGGCATTTGCCAAAGTGGATCACAACCTACTCCTCAGTAAGCTAGAAAAAGGTGGAAGAGATAACATCACCAACAAACGGATCTGTAACTGCTGACAAACCATACTGAACGAGTAGTCCTCAACGGCACTACATCCACATGGAGAGAAGTAAGCAGTGGAGTACCACAAGGTTCCATCTTAGGCCCAGTACTCTTCAACATCTTCATTAACAACTTAGATGAGGGAATAGAAGGGAATTCATCAAATTTGCAGATGACACCAAACTGTCAGGAGTAGCCAACACTTCAGAAGACAAACTCAGGATCCAAAAAGATCTTGACCAGTGGTTCTCAACCTATGGGTCGGGACCCCATTTGGGGTTGAATGACCATTTCACGGGGGTTGCCAAACAACGCAGTCCGCCATTTCCCCCCCCCCCTTTCCTTAGCTGTGCTACTCCCTTTTATTCTATTGGCTTTTGAAAGCCAATAGAATAGACTCTCTTGAATAGAGTCTAATTCTATTGGCTTTCAAAAGCCATAGGAATTGTCCAGGCTGTCTCTGCCCTGCTGAGCCCACCAACAGTCCCATTCTGCAAATGGTGCTGCACCAGTTGAGTAGTCCTCGACTTATGACCGGTTGAGTAGTCCTTGACTTATGACCGGTTGGGGATCGCGGCATTAAAAAGGTTGAGAACCACTGATCTTGACAAACTTGAACAATGGGCCCCATCCAACAAAATGAGTTTCAATGTGGAGAAAAGCAAAGTCTTACACTTAGGCAGGAAAAACCAAAGGAACAAATACAGATTAGGTGAGACCTAGCTTAAAAACTAACTGTGAGAGGGACCTTGGAGTCCTAGTGGACATCACTTAACTATGAACCAGCAGTGTGCAGCAGCAATCAAAAAAAGGTAATACAATCTTGGATTGTATAAACAGAGGCATAGAATCAAGATCACACAAAGTATTAGTACTGCTTTATAAAGCCCTAGTAAGACTACACCTTGAATACTGCAGCCAATTTTGGTCACCTTATCACAAAAAAGATGTTGAGAGTTGTGAAAAATTTCAGAGAAGAGCAATTAAGATGATCAAAGGCCTGGAGACAAAAACATACGAAGAACAGCTGCAGAACTTGGGTTTGACTAAAGAAAAGAAGAAATAGGGGAGATATGATAGCAAGAGTTTCTTGCATTTTCTGGATGTGCAATCTTCTTTAGCTCTATGTGGCACTGCACTGTAATATTTTATTGGTTTCTAAGACTTTCTTATATAGGGACCCCAAATAGGATTTGCCTGTCATTACTAATGTTTTGCTCAGACAATAATACTGGTTTGTAACGTTATAGGTCAACTGGCATCAATTTGTCTAGGAATCAGTCTAAAATAAATGCATCTTCATTTTCCATTATATACAACATAGCATTCCTTAACCAGACTGCTGCAAGAGAACATTACAATTTCAAACATTAACCTTCCTCAAGTAGAAATTCAAACATCGTTTTGATAACGTTTTTTGTTCTCAATCCTTCTTTGGCATGATGCAGTACCTTATCATATGGGAGGTAAACATTAATCACCCCATACACATAATAGACAAAAACCATGTAGATCCAATTATTTATCTGAAATTGTGGTTTTTAATCTGCCTTTACATAAATATACTCCCTTCCCCTCTGCTGGTACCTGACCTGGCAGGTACGCCAGGTTTCCTATTTTAGTGTTTCAAGAAATTTAGGAACAAGACAAAAGTGTGCACAATGAATATGTACCAAGGTATGCAATATTAGAAGATTCTCAGTCTGGACTCTACACAATTGCATAACGTTATATTTGGATGTACAGCTGATTATCAGGAAAAAAAATAGAGCTAAAATAACCTGCAGTACATATTGGCATCAAGTTTGGCAGAGATAGAAGCAAGTTCCTAAATAGGCAGAAAAGTGTTTTCCACCAAAAATCAAACCTTTAAAATGTCACTGTCTATTCTTCAAAATAAGCAATCAGAACATCTAAAAAAAAATAAAACAACTTTTAATATAAAGAAGAAGAAAATGGATCCTTAATATTGCTTCAATTCTTCAGAATCATTATCTTACCTTCAAGTCAAGATGAACTACATTATTTTGATGTAAAAAGGAAACTCCTTCTAAAATCTGCCTCATGAGATGCTTAACATCTTTTTCCTTGAAGGCATCTTCTCTTTCAGCTACACACTGGTCAAAGATTTCTCCACCAGCAGCACTAAGAATAAGGATATTTGTTTTTAAATTTCCAATTATTATTAATAATATATCTCATCTATATATTAAAAATTATGCTTAAGATAATGTTAATAAGTTAAAGCATTTTAATTACAATTCAAATAAAAATACATCCATGGGAATCAAATCAGTTAACAGATTAGACCAAATTCAAAGGCAAGTCAATTTCAACATCAGCACTGAATGAAATATATATTTGCCTGCCAGCAAATGTAGAATTAACCAAACCTCCTTTGGAAGGAAGTTTAAAGTTTTATAGCAACCATTTTATTTAAGTAATATGTATCATTGTTTAGGTTCTTAGATTATAGAGTGTTTACACTTCAGTTTAGTAAGAGGGAACTCAGCTATTATATTTGAGATTTTTTGATATAAAAATGGAAGAATAAAAATGAAAAATGAACTTATACTAAAAATGAACTTTTTTAGTTGTTAACAATCTATGCATGGATTGTCCTTAGAAAAGAAGTATAAAGGTTGTGCCAGAGAAACACTTTGCAATATCTCATTAAGCAATATTTATTTCAAAAATCCTCATAAACCAAATATCCTATTTTCAAGTTTAAATCACGTATCCCTAATCTTTAAAAAGACAATTGGTCTGAAAATAAAAATTAAGCAAATAATCAGTTTCGTTAAATCCTTCCATAGTTAAAATAATATATCTAGACCAGATCAGTAAGTTTTCTTTATAACAAGCAGTGGCTATGCTATGCTGCATTAATCTTTTTCTTTCCCTTTGTATAAGGTGCTACAGAGAGTGCTTTTTCTAAAAATAATTAATTAATATACTTCTTCCTTCTAGAGAAGCTCAGGATGGGCTTATAATCAATAAAAAGAAATATTATCCACCAGTGGAACTACAGGCCTCTCTGAGTAATCTTAATCTACTGAATAGTGTTGGGGGGGGCAACATTTTAAATACTTGAGCCCAATCCTACCACGAACTTTAAATTGGGTCTGGCAGATCATAGACTGATTATACCTGAGTTTTTAAATGTACAGTTTTGATTTATTGTTTTAATGTTTTATGTGGTACTTTAATTCCTTGACTATAAGCTGCCTAGAAATGCCTCAGTGAAATGGGCGACACAGATGTCAACAGAAGTCAAATGATAGATAGATAGATAGATAGATAGATAGATAGATAGATAGATAGATAGATAGATAGATAGATATTAAATGCAGTATGTTCGTGTTAGGTGTTATGTGATCATTTACCTTCTTCACTTAACATCATGTTAACACTTCACTTTATTTAATTTTAACTGAGTTGTGCATATAGAGTCATATCTAGAATCAGCTATTGAGGCTATGTATAAATTAAGGAAGATGATTTTGAAGTAGAGTCCCAAGATCTACAGTATTGACTAGATAAAAGGAACTGAAGCATTTTTTGGGTCACAAATGAAGCAACATTCAGAAGAGGCAAATGCCTCCCTAATTTACTAAATAGAAGGAAGAGGAAGCTTTATTAGACCTTCAAGTTTCTGTTATTATAGAAATAGTTTTAGCCTTCTAGTGGAATTGATTTCCTGGTCTGCTCTACCTAATGGGGTCAAAAGGCCACCAAGTGAAGCAATTCTCAGAGCAGTTTTCTTTCAGAGGGTTCATGAGAACAAATAAACATTTTAAAAAATCCTAATTTCAATTTTTAATATGATATAGATATCAATATAAAACTAAAACTCCCATAGTCATGACCTCTAGCTGGGTTAAACAGTGTACCCTAGGACAACAATTTTTGAACCAAAGATTTTGGAGACATTTACAGAATGTCTCCAAAATCTAGGACCCAAGATTCCCAAGGGAATGACATTAAGAAAAGTTGTGGCTGCTTCAGTGTTACTGGCTCCTTCTAAGCTGCTGCTGCAATCATGTGATCATCATTTTATACATTCCATGACAGTTTCTGAGCCAGTCTTACCATTCCCTCACCCATCAGTAACTATTTATCTGCCAGCTGGAAAAGGAAGGGAAAAGGGAGGAGAAGTAAGGGGGAAGAAACCTCTGAATAATGTCTACAGAGATTCTCAATCATCCAGGTCATAGTTGTCTCAAATGTGCCTTTTCAAAAAGCATCTAGACTGTTTTTCCTTGAGGAAGAAGAAGACGCTGTTTCACTTCTCATCCAAGAAGCTTCATTCTTTCTCAAGGAAAAGCAATCCAGTTGCCTTTGAAAAAGCACCTTTGAGAACCCCTGCATACTCTTTCCATCCATGCCATCTTCTGCATGCTTCCACTTGTGCTGGCCCCATATGCCTTCCCCAATCTGCACCACCTCCCATGTGTCTTCTCCAACCCATACTGTCAGAATCCAATCATATTTCATCTTTAATTATCAAATATAGAAACTCCCAATTCTGCCTTCTTTGGATTCTGCCATAAGAGGGAGAGAAGGGGGAGAACAAAGGGGCTTTATGGCCCTCACTTCCTTCAGTAGACTTCAAAGAGCTGAATGCTGAATGTGTGTTTATTGTAACCTATTGTAACCTCAAAGCGTTAACACCAGAGAACATTAGCATTAACAAAGAAGAGTATTTGCCTTTCATGTAGTTATCTGAAGTCTCCATCCAGACAGAAGAAAGAAGAAACGGGGTGGAATTGTGATACTTGAAACTATCACTGGGAAGGGGGGTTGATTGGGTGGGACTACTGGGGAACCCCTTAAAACCTTGAATGGGAGAGCTTGGACCCCAAGTCCTGTCTAGCATGCCTGCAACCATTTTCTCTTAATAAAGGATTCCTGTTGGAAGAACTATTCCAAGTCTTCTTAAGATGCAAAGTGGGGTGGGTCCTTACATTAGACAGGACTTGCAAAATTAATCCACCTGGAAGGTAGACCCTTGCCGGGGGATTTTGCAAAAATTTACCATGTCAGACAACGAAGCAAGAGAGGGAGAAAACTCCCTGGAAAGAGAGCCGCTGACCCAGTTGGAACCTTGCCAGATGTTGGGATCCGAGAGGCCAGATTTCTCAGAAGAAGAAGTGGTGGAGACACAGGACCACAAGCCTCACTGGTCGATGGGCGTTGGAAAGAAAAGCGAGTGGGGAAAGGAATCAAGAAAAGTGACCCTGAGACGGGGGACCAAGCAACCAGAATGGAAGCAGGAGATGGAGAAATCCCTGCACGCAAGTGAAGAGGGAGGAAGCTGTATGCCGTACTCAGACTGGATCCTAGAGAAAGCTATTGACCTGATGAAGAGAACTCTCAGCTCCCTAGGAGAGGAGATTCCTGAGCCCTACGCCCGCCCCAGTTCCTGGAGCCACAAAGTGAGAGACACCGGGGGGGACGTGGAACCTGCAACCCCAAGGACATTTACTGATCCAGGAGCTCCCACCCCCTACCGGACCCAAGATGGAAATCTGGACGGAAGACACTACCACCCACAATGGAGGCACCGATCCATTCCAAGACGTCCACCGTTGGAGGTGAAATTCAAAGGGGAGCCAACACGCTTGGGGTTTTTCCTAACCCAAGTCCTCAGCTACATGGAGGAATATGGGCAGGACATCCCCAGCGACAAAGCCCGCATCCGGATCGTGCAATCTGCCCTGGATGGACCAGCTGCAGATTGGGTGGTGAACCTGCATGACTCCAATGCCCCAGAACTCAGTAACTTCAACCGTTTCATGTCCTCGTTGAGAAGACGATTTGAAGACCCCCTGGCTGATCGCAAAGCCCGTGAAAGAATAACAACGATGAGGCAGGGCAAACGCCCAGTGGCTGAGTATACACAAGAATTCCGAGCCATTGCCAGCAAACTGAATTGGCCAGAAGACATCCTCCTTGGCCGTTTCAAAGACGGACTAAACTATGATCTATATGATGCTTGCCTGCCCCGAGGAGACCCACATCGACTTGAGGAATGGTACGTCTTGGCAGAGGAAGCAGAGATCGACATATTGAAGAGGCATCGCCGAGGAAAACAATGGAGCCGCCCCCCGCCTGAGCTGACACACCAACCGGTGAAATCATCGGATACAGCCAAGAAGCAGATGGGGTGTTTCAAGTGCGGAAGAGAAGGACATCGAGCTGTAGAATGCCGCTCAAAGGCCCCCCAGCACAACCCAGACAGATCCCCAATCAACAAACCCAGAGGGTATTCAGCTAAGCCAAAAGAAACAGCCATGAAAATGATGGAAATTGCAGAAAACCCCACCTCTGCTCACCAAGGGGAAAGAACTCCAGCCTACACCACAGGGACGGTGGATGCCTCAGATGACAGCTCGGAAGGCGAACCCCTGGTAAGTGGACGCATCACACCCATCTTCAAACAGTGACTATATTAATCCCCCCCATGCCCGAAGCTGTGAAGGTGAAAGCCTTAATAGACTCTGGCTGCACCCGCTGCCTCATTAGCCCAACACTAGTGGGGAATCTGGGCATCCCATCCAGGAGACTGGAACAACCAATCTCATTGGGCCAGCTAGATGGCCAGCTAGATGGATCCATAGCAGGGGGGGTGCCAGCTACCCTAGCCACTCTGCCAATACACCTCTCCCTGGGCAACCATGAAGAGGACTTAACGTTTGTGGTGACCCCAGGTATGGAATGCCCAATGATTCTAGGGATGGAATGGTTGAAAAAATGGAACCCCTGGGTAAATTGGAGGACGACAGAAATCAATTCCCGAAGGGGGACCCTATGGACTTAAAACCCCAAGGGAGGCTACCAGAATCAAGAATAGAAAAAGCATCCATAGGAGAGGAAAAAGATTAACAGAAATACCAGAGGAATATAGAGACCTTGCTGAAGTCTTCAGTGAGGAGAGGGCGAATGAGCTTCCCCCCCACCGACCCACAGACTGTACCATTGAATTCAAGCCTGGGGCAAAACTCCCGAAGCCCAGATTATACTCCATGAGCCCAAAGGAGAAGGAGGAAATGGAAAGATTTATAAAAAAAAACCTGGAGAGAGGTTTCATTGAGCCAGCCAAGCCTAAAGTGGCTGCCCCGGTCCTTTTTAGAGAGAAGAAG